CGAAACGGCTGGAGCGATTTTAATAAAATTTGGTATAGAGTTGACACTCACGGCTGGACGAGTCCACCAGTTTAAAGTCGCCCAGAGAGCTATGGAAAGGGCTATGCATATGCGCATAGGTGTATCCTTGAAGGACCGCATCAGAAATGATGTAATCCGACAGAGAACCAAAGTCACCGACATAGCTCACCGAATTAGCAAACTGAAGTGGCAGTGGGCTGGTCACATTAGCCGCAGAACTGATGGACGTTGGGGCCGGAAAGTTCTTGAGTGAAGACCACGACTCGGTAAACGTAGTGTGGGACGCCCTGAGACAAGATGGGATGATGATATTCGTAGGCTGGCTGGAGTGGGCTGGATGAGAGTAGCACAAAATCGGGAGCAGTGGCGTGCATTAGGGGAGACCTATGTCCAGCAGTGGACGAACATGGGTTGATGATGATGGTATAAAGTTAGTTGACACCCTGGATTAACACATAAGCTACGTTTTACTTTTTGGAGTTTACTCCTTAAGAATCGATTTGCATATATAAGGGGCCCGGTATAAGAAAAATGTGAGGAGTAAAATCTATCGATGAATGACATTAATGACCTCGTTACGTTTTTGTGCGCAACCTCATCTGCGCACCTTTCACTTTTAGCCATGGCAACGGATAACAAAACATTTTGTCACAAATGTCAATAAAATAAATAAACTAAAAATACTTAGATAAAATCGGAGCAAAATTAATGAAAACAAATAAATAACAGAATATAGAGAAATGCCGGTAAGTGTCCAGCACTCTGGAATAGTGATTTTCAGTACAGATGGAATTATAAGACATATTTACAAAATAATGACTAGTGTGTGATATTTTTGAAATTGTGTGTTTCCAGAAATACATAATAAAATATATGATGAATATCGCTGATGTTAGATGATAAAATGTGTGACATAGAACCTATGATAGTCGAAACCATGGGACGATTCCTGAGGTATCTCTACTTGTAACCGACTCCTTCGGACTTGATTTTGTTTTGTGTCTGTTCAAAGACAATCGTTTTTAGAGTGTTAACTCCGGTCGTGCTTCGGAGCTGACACACACAATTTTTTTTATAGATTGGATCAACAAATGACTCCACCCCACCTGATGTTAAGTGAAGGTGAAGTCCAGACGCGGAGATAGCTGATACAGCAGTTCTACCTGCCACACCAGCCATCCTCACCCTGCCGGCCTGCATGTTGCTTCTTCACGCCTCTCTTAAAGGATCCCAGGTTGTAAGAGGGATTGAACACGTGAGCGGGCAGAGCATTCCATTTAAGGATAGTGCGACAAAGAAATGAGTCACCAAATATCTTTGTACGCGTTGGAATTGTGGCCACAGCGGGTATTTACTGCGGGAAAATATTCCTAATAAATCGCGAGTAACACCGCGGGGCACAGCTAGTACTCAATAATGCGCGGGGATTCAACCATTTTTGGAGTTTACTCCTTGAGAATCGATTTACATATACATATAAGGGGCCCGGTATGAGAAAAATGTGAGAGTAAAATCTATCGATGAATGACCTCGTTACGTTTTTACTGTCTACGCTGTAGCAGCCGTAGTGCTACACCGTAGCACAGTATCGTAGCGTACCTTTATTTATGCACATCTGAAATTGACTATTGTAAAAAGTTTAATGTAAAATATTTCGTCGATTATAATATAATATAATAAATGTATATGAAATGAATAAATATATATTTATATATGTATATTATTTTCATTAATTTGTTAATTTACCCTTTCATACAGTATCATTCTTTTTTAAGTTATATAAACTCTTTTTGCGTCCGGTTAGACTATCGAACTTAAGGAGTAAACTCCAGTCGTGCGTCGGAGCTGACACACACATTTTTTTTAATTTGCGTATTATGTTGCGAATTCTTGTGTAAATAGCCTATTGTTAATATTCTTTTTTGTACATATTTATTGTTTTATAATCTTTTTGGTTTAAATGTAAGAAGTAATCTTTTTTTGTTAATCTCTAATAAATATTGTCTTTTCTTTTTTTTGAATTTTTTGCACAACTTATTTTTTCTCTCCTTTTAAGCTATCGAAATTTCATTCACATTTATTTTTGGTCCTCATATGAATTTGAAGAGTTTACAGAAAATAAAATAACCGTCATTATAAAATCATTTCTATTTTAATATAGTGATAATAAATATTATTGTATATACATTAGTGCAATATTTACATACATTTTTGTTACAAATTCAAATTAAATACAAGTTCTTTTAAGAGGTAACGCAATAAACATGAGAAACAATCAATTTTCGACCTTAACTTATTGCTATTAAGATTTCGAATTGCCTTTCAACTTATTGTCAAAGTTTACAACACACCGGCAATTTGTATGCCCACGAACTAAGTGATTTTGGTTAAATATTCTTAAGTAAAATCGTAAAATTACAACTATTTTCTTATAAATGCTTGAATTTTTCAATACATTTGTACCATTACAAAAATAACCAAGAAATAAATATATTTATTCGAATTCGAAATGTTTAAACTATAGGCCATTGAGACTTCCCTATGGATGGAATAGGGAGATTGGGCCGTAACCCACCACGCGGGCCCAGTGCGGATTGGCGGGTGCTAACGACTGCAGATGCAGCCGGGACCAACGGCTTAACGTGCCTTCCGAAGCACAGAGGAACTCGAGATAGAAGTTTTTGGTCACCCATCCAATGACCGACCACTGCGAAAGTTGCTTAACTTCTTTTATTAATAAAGGGGTACAAGTTAAAACAACATAACAGAAATACAAGGTTTTTTACTGAAGCTAAAACTAAAGAAGACATGTGAGAAAAAAGTTATGATACATACTTAGATTAAAACAAAAAGGGAAGATACCGCACTCGCGGCTCAAAAGTGATCCGCTTAAATTGTGGACCACGACCATAATTCGCTTTAGTCACAATTTGACATTCAAACACGCTGCATGTACACTCAATATAACAATACTAGCAAACCAGTGAACCAAATGTTCACCAAAACCTGATTTAAAAATAAAAAAAAAATGTATTTAATTAATTGAGAACTTCGGAGATTTTGTGTGGTTTCGTTTGAAATTCGTGATTTCTCGAAAACCGGAAGTGCTACGTTACTCAAATCCGGTTTGTAGTCTTATCAGACTATTCTTAACTTATAACTTAAATATTCTCTTTATCTATCTCTTACGGTTTGGCCGCTGAAACAGCACCACAGACAGACAGACGGACGGACTTGTCTAATAGATAAGAGATTGCGTATATTCTGTGTTATAAAGATATAACAATTCCTTCGATGCTTCTATAAAGAACACAAATAGTTCATAATCAAATGCCTCGGCAACATTTTCATTCGTAAAGCTGTGAAAACGAATTTTTTTCTGAAAAATCACGGTTTGCGTGAATATTATTTACGTAATAAGTGAATTTTATTTAAGTAACGCAAGAAAAGGACAACAATATGCTGCGTTGAAGCGTATAGTTCTGTCTCGCTCGCTCGATTGAATGTTTATATACAGACGTGTGCGTGGCGAGAGTTGCTTATGTAGTTGAGTCGGAGCATATTGGAACGAAGTTCCTTACGGCAGGCTTGGAGGGGATAGGGATTTTGCTGCGCGACCGAACTGAAAAAAATGTGATAGCAAAAACCGTAAGAAAAAATCCGTGGAAAAAAGTGCGTGGAATAAAACCGTTAAATGAGGGAACTTCGTTCCTACCTGGTGTCCCACGACACCACATCATTTTTTTTATTTGATGCTAGTATGAGCGTACCGTATCTACCCTTTTTGTTTAAATCTAAGGATACATATTGAGTAACTGCTGCATTGTTTTAATAAAAACTAACAGTAATAATACTAACAGTTGTCAAAGAAAAAAATTACAAAACCAGCAACAAACTTTATCTTTTCTTCCTTCTGTTACACCATAGAGGACAAGTCAATTTTCCAAAGGACACCCGGCATTTTGTGCCAAAGTTGTATACTTTTTTAATTTTTTTATCTGTGTTTCATAATTGGGTAACGTAGTCTGGCAATATTTGTCATCAACAGCTAGCTGTCAATGTCAAATACGTGTAGGTTTGTCATCAAAAGGGTTTCTATATCAAAAAATATTAATCATTAAATAACTTCTTTCCACGATTCACTAAAAATAAGGCAAAAGTAGTTTTATGTAGCAAATAATTTTGGCTTTATTTTGAGACCAAATTCAACTGTATACACAAGTTTAGCATTTTTTCTATGAAAAGTGCCGGGTCTCCTTTATAGTTACCTAATTGACACTTTCCATACTTTTAAACGAAAAAACACAATAAAAAGTAATTGACGAGTATTTTTTTAAAACGCAACGTATATTATATTCAATCACGTATATTATTAAAATACATTACGATTACCGTAGGGTACGTAAATATAATACCAGTAAATATGCATAGATTATTAGTGATATTTGATTTTTTTATATTCGGATTATTTGAGATCGTAACAAATTCAACAAAAATGCTCACATTATTATATTATAAGACAACTAGCAAACCAGTGAACCAAATGTTCACCAAAACCTGATTTCTCGTAAACCGGAAGTGCTACGTTACTCAAATCCGGTTTGTAGTCTTTCAGACTATTCTTAACTTATAACTTAAATATTCTCTTTATCTATCTCTTACGGTTTGGCCGCTGAAACAGCACCACAGACAGACGGACGGACGGACTTGTCTAATAGATAAGAGATTATTTGGTTTCGGAAAAAATCTTTAATCTAATTCTTTTATTTGTTTTTACTCAATATTTTCTATAATTTGAGGAGTTTGAAATAATCTGTTTAACCAAAAAATCGTCTGTTAATCAAGTAAAACAAAATATTTTTTATATTCGGATTATTCGAGATAGTAACAAATTCAAGAAAAAAAATCTCACATTATTATAAGACAATTATTTGGTTTTCGAAAAAATCTTTAATCTAATTGTTTTATTTGTTTTTACACAATATTTTTTATAATTTGACGAGTTTAGAATAATCTGTTTAACCAAAAAAATCATCTGTAAATCAACTCAATATTTTTTTTACAATTTGACGAGTTTAGAATAAACTGTTTAACCAAAAAAATCATCTGTAAATCAAATAAAAAATAAATAAAAACAACAACTCAAAACTCTCTCAAAATGTTCACAAACAAGTTGTCATATAATCATGACGAGAGATCCACCTCCGAGAAATCTGTCAAAGGATCCGATCTCACTTCGTCTTCCGATTTCAACCGCACTTTGCAGACTTCACCATTAACATTGGCGACATCTTTGACAACTTCATAGCTTTCAGTAGAACTTTTCTTATCACCCAACGCTTCGATATTATCAAAAACTTCGCTGTTCTCCTTGACGACTTCGTAATTTTCAGGACTATCAGTGCCTTTACTGCTTCCAGCGTCTAATTTAAGATTGGCTACATCTAAATCGTGGTCTTTGGACAAATCAGCTGAACTGTTACTGTCCAAATCATCAAAATCTCTCTCAGTTTCCGATAAATTCGCGTTATACTTTGAAGGCGAAAGGTTTTGGACGGCATTTTTTGATACAGTTTTGAACAATTCTCCTACATCGGCCTCTGTCGATAGTTTTAAAGCGTGCTCCCACCCCATCAAGGTTTGCTTGTGAACACTGACCTGGTGTTCAGCTATTTCTAAGAGTAACGATTTGATTTCGGAACGGGTCTTTGGTATCCAATCTGACAATTCTGAACGTAGCGCTTCTGACGCCTGTTCTAACCTGAATGATAAGATTTTGTACATTAGAAAGTGGCGCAAATATTGTCCTATTTCTTTCAAACATTAAACAGTATAATATAGGAAGTTAAGGATGAGAATATTCTTCTATCTCTTTCTATCATTACAGAAACGTCTACTAAATTAAAACATGCAACAACAATTTTTATCAATGCAATCAATGTGTTAATGTATTTGCTAACAACTTTTATCTTCTGTATGGTGAAATAAATAAGTATACTACCCGGCGAACTTCGTACCGCCCAAAAGTAATAATCTGCAATAAAATAATATTGCGACTATAAATTGAGATGTAAGCTATCCTATCTTTTAAGTTGGATCATACTGCACGTGGTGTGCAAATTCGATTAAAAATCGGTTAAGTTAGTTTAGGAGTCCGTCTTGGACAGACAACGTGATGCGTAATCTTTATATATATAATTCTTCTGTGAGTGTGTATGTCACTGAACTTCTCTTAAACAACTGGACCGATTTTGATGAAATTTTTTGTGTGTGTTCAAGGGGATCTGAGAATGGTTTAGATTCACAATTTTGTCCGCTGGACAACCCCTATTTTTTTAGGGCGGTACGAAGTTCGCTGGGTCAGCTAGTCTAATATATAAAATTCTCGTGTCGCGGTGTTTGTGGTTAAACTCCTCCGAAACTGCTCGACCGATTTTCGTGAAATTTTATATGCATATTCAGTAGGTCTGAGAATCGGATGTAATCTATTTTTCATCCCCCTAAATGTTGAGGGTAATCCACCCCTAATTTTTTTTTTAATTTTAGATATATTTTTTTTGTTTTTATTTTTTATGATACATCATACAAAAATACATACAACCCTGAATTTTCACCCTTCTACCACCAACCCCTATTTTTTATGGCGGTACGAAGTTCGCTGGGTCAGCTAGTTTTTATATATTAATACTAGATATGACTATGGCATTAGATGGGTCTGTGAAATCGTGGTATTCTATTTCCCATGGGACAAAAGTCCCATATAGAAATATCTGCTCCTATTTTAGTCTCTTTCTTAAATCCAAATTCTCTTAATCTAATTTTTTTCGAGACGCCGTAATTGTTTTCCATCAATTTCATTTCAACAAAAGTATGAAACATAAAAATAAAATGTTTAAGCGAAAGATATCCAATTAATTGTAAAATAAAATTACCTGTTATGTAACTCTCCCGTGGCGTTAGAACCGGAAACGTAAGTAGCTGTGGAAATTAAATAGATATCAATGAGATACTTATTAAGTAAAATCTTTAAAAAAAATATATAGATTGTTACGATCTAAATCTGGCATTATTCTTTTGAATAAAAACTTAATTTGACAGTTTCTCCTTCTCTATATATATAGCATCATAAGGACAAACTGTCAAATAAACAAATAATTAAAAATTAATTACTACTGACAATGTACTTTCAGACTTAGAGAAACATGCCAGCATTAGCCATTGTCTATCTGTTCTAAGAAAGAAACAGTAATTTCTTCATCTAGAAGTTGATTATATTTTTTTATGTTAATATTATTTACACTAGGCTATCAGTCTAACTTAAGAAGATAATTATATTTTTATTATGAAACAAAAAACACTATCAGATGCTTTCCGATAATTTAAAAGACTTAAACAATATATATAAATTAAAAAGGGATCCAATACCGAGCCTTGTGAAACTCCAAAATTTCTAGTATTGTTTCCTTAGTAACTGCACAGAAGAATTATGAGTAATAAAATTTAATTTTCTCGTTAATTTTTCTTTTATGAATAAGTAACGGAAAGAAAAACATTCATTGACTACATACAGGGACAACGAAAATACAATAAACATAATTATACAAACACATGTAAAATGATAAAATACAGAGATAAGATGTTATGATGTGTAGTGGCCAATCAGGGGATCTAAAATAGCGAGTTTGCATCATTAATTGTTCATAAAATGTCTCATATTTCAATCGAAATCTTAAAATAACAAGTTATTTCATGAAAATTAATCGATTATAATATTAAATGAATGTTAGATTTGACATATTTATGTTGAGAATGCGTGAGAAAAGAATCCACTTAGATGAAATGGCATCTTGATGAAACACATCACTATTGCGTAATTGAAGAATCTCAACTCAATTACGAAATATTTATTCAAGGTCGTCATTTTGGACCTCTTGTATTCTGTCCTAGCATAAGTTCTAAATTATGTAAGTGACTGAATAAAACACTCACCAAATAGGCTTGCCATACTATATAATATAGTATCCTACTATATCGAAGAAACCAATACTATATTTCTAAAAAAAAATATAGTAAGCGAAACTACTATATTTTGATTAAAGCAGACTTTTGCCAATAAAAGCTTTTTTAAAAACTAAAACTGAATTATTAGGTATAGAGCAGCAAAAGTATATAAATTTTAAATATAAAGCAAATACTTTAAACACATACTATATTTTTTTCCATTTTGTTGACTTCTACTATATTTTTTGTTTCTTAGCTTTTCACGCACATCACCCATTAAATAAACCAGTTTTAACGGGTTATATGCACTAAATTTATTTATTTATTGACGTTTCGCATCCTTTTCAGGAATGCGTCGTCGTAATAATTTTTTTTTTTTATTTATTTTGTCGAGCTACCTTCGAAAGACTTTTATTGAGCGTTCGGATATGCTACTATATTTTTAGAGGTAACAGCTTCGAAAATGCTATATTTGATAGTAAAAAAAGTTGGTTATCCTACTCACCATGCATAGCGTCCCTCTGTCTAATCTTATCGACATGTGCTTGCGCGTATGCCGCCAGTAAGGGCAGCGTGGCTCGAGCCCTGAGCGCGGCCACTTTACCATTGGCTCCCCCTTTAGTGCCCCCCCCTCGGGCCTGGGAAGCTACCCCGGCCCCGGTCCCTAGAGCCCCCGCCCCTTTGCCTGCTAAGCCCCCCGCTTGACTCGCCCACGCGTCGCAAACGCGTTTCATTCTACGTAGACATACGAGAAAAGAAAACATTTGTTATTAAAAGTCAGCAAACACGTAAATTCACTATGTAAAAGGCCTTGTATAGATCTGTTTTTTTTTGTTCCCGCCCCTTTGCCTTCTAAACCCTCCGCTTGGCTCGCTCAAGCGTCGCAAACGCGTTTCATTCTACGTAGACATACGAGAAAAGAAAACGTTTGTTACTAAAAGTCAGCAAACACAAAAATTTACTATGTAAACGGCCTTGTATAGATCTGTGTTTTTTCCCGCCCCTTTGCCTGCTAAACCCCCCGCTTGACTCACCCACACGTCACAAACGCGTTTCATTGTACGTTGACATAAGGAGAAAAGAAAACTTTTGTTACTTACTTAAAGTAACCCAACACGAAAATTTACTATGTAAAAGGCCTTGTATAGATCTTTTTTTTGGGAAAAATTTGCTTGATAATATTTACATTTCAGGTAGTAATTTGTTTGTCAAGCGCATCAAACATAGCCATAAACGATCAAATTTGTTAATAAACACTTAAATAAGACTATATAAATAATAAATTAGAAAAACGAATTTAATCGTTTACAGGGCTCTTAAGAATGGGGATTAAGCAGGCCCATTGTCTAAATAAGCAATAGGGTATTTGACAAGTTTTAGAAAACGATCTCACGTTATTGACTAATGTTTATCGAGTCCGTAAAAAGTGGATATTCATCATTCTGTTGTGTATTTCTGTAAAAATAACCAAATCAAAAACTCCATTTTCAAGTTGCCGTTGAAAACGTTTTTCTGGACATTATGGCGTCTTACCAGTGTGTGACGTCACACGACTGTTACTAAAACGTCAAACGATACAATGTAATGTCACTTTGAACGGAAGTTTACTTGCGTGTGACGTCATTTTAGGCTCTGCCAATCCCAAGCGTTTTGGGTCACGTGACAATAAAAAAAAAAACTATTATCTTTTTCGTGGGTTTTTAGTAAAATTATGAATATTTTTTTTGTAAAAATAGTAAAAACCCCTGCCAATATACATTCTAAACACAGATGCTAACAATTGGCACTTTATTTTTAATACTGTCACATACCCTATAGTAACTTCCGACCATAACGCGATTAAATTTTAATGTTGTTAAATCAATTTTCCAATATACCTGTCGCGTACTGGGTTTTTTGGATTCCGTAGTCCTGACAAGAAACCCTTATAGTTTCGTCATGTCCGTCTGTGCGTCGCCGACTTTGCTTGGAGACTATTAGCACTAGAGTTGTAATTTTGTGGAGATATGTACATATATTTTGTGGAGATATCACATCAATCGACATATTTAAGTGTTCACTCAAAAATTGTAAAAAATGTATTCACGATATGGTAGATAGTTCATAATTATTAATTGTAACCAACAAAACTTGTTATTTTTTTTTGTTTTATTGGTAAAAACATTAACGTCTTTTTTCTTTGTCAATTTTAATTACCTGAACTCCTTTATATGTTTTATATAATAGTGGAAACTTTATTGATGTATGTTTGTTATTTAGATCTAGGTATAAGTATTAATTCATTGTTTGTTTCCCAAATAAAGATAAAATAATAAAAAAAAATATCGATCATGCCGACAAAATGGTAGAATAAAATTGTGAAAAATATTTTTTTAGGGTAGCTACCCTACATGTAACCTGGGAATGATTTTTTTTCATCTTCATCATCAAATCGTGTGCGATATCGTTGAATAGGTCCTTTAAAATTACTTGAGGTTCCTAAGACTATTTTGGCTTGAAATGAATTCATGATAATAGTCAGTGCCGTCTTTGACCTATAGGAGGTCCTGGGCATATTAGGATAATGGGGCCCCTATGACCCCCGTTTGGTGATCTGACAGGAACTAGGGACTTTGTATTTGATCTGAGGGGGCCCCCTATCGATCGCGGGGCCCTGGGCACTTGCCCAAAGTGCCCACTGGGAATGATGGGTCTGATTTAAACATCCAGCAGTTTAAATGCTTAAAGAAAATAAAAATATAACATACAACTCTTTCCCCTTTATAATATGTATGGTAGGTTCTTTGATATTTTGCCCAAAGTGCCCAATGGGAAAGAGAGGTTTGATAATAGTGCTTTTCATGAACTTTTTTGTTTTATTAAAAAGTACACCCTCGAATCCACCCAAACTACCCCCGGGGTTCGGGGTACTACTACGGGGTTGTTCAATGTTAAAAATATATAAATAGAGATAAATAAAGAGCTCGATGGCGTGGGTGGTTAGCGCATACGGCTGCGATCGTTGAAGTTAAGCAACTTTCGCAGTGGTCGGTCATTGGATGGGTGATCAAAAATCTTCTATCTCGAGTTCCTCCGTGCTTCGGAAGGCACGTAAAGCCGTTGGTCCCGGCTGCATCTGCAGTCACTAGCAACCGCCAGTCCGCACTGGGCCCAATCTCCCTCCATAGGGAAGGCCTGTGCCCCAACAGTGGGGACATTAATAGGCTGATGATGATGAACACGTTACTTGAATATAGTCACCGAGCTATTTAGTGATCCACTGCTGCTTTTTTATAAAGCCACTAAGATACTTGTTCTAAAAAGCACCGATGGACATGCAATTTTCTTTTTAGGTTAGGATGATGAGAAATAAATAACAATATCATGATTGTTGCTCACCCCATCAACTCATTGCCGGTGGCGGCTTCGCCCTTATGTAGGGCGACTGTAAGCGCACATAATGCGGTCAGCTTCTGTTGCAGGGAAGTGAGGTATTCCGCCGCACTGGTGAACTCTGGGTCTTTTACCCTACATGCATAATACCGTATCATTATTATATATATACTAGCTGTCCCAGCGAACTTCGTACCGCCATAAAAAAATAAAGGTTGGTGATAGAAATTAAAAAAAATAAAAACAAAAACAAAATGATTTTATTTATTTTTTAAGCATTTAACTGCTAGATGTTTAAATCTAAAGAAAACTTTTCTTATAACTTTTCTATAACTATAATTGCTATTTCTTCTTTCAAATGTTTAATACTTGAAAAATTTCCCCCCCTCAATTTTTATTTTCAATTTTAGATAATTTTTTTTATTTAATTTTTTTATGAATCATCATAGAAAAATACATACATCCCTAAATTTTCAACTTTCTACCACCAAAACCCTATTTTTTATGGCGGTACGAAGTTCGCTGGGTCAGCTTGTATATCTATATCTATATATATATATATATATACATACAGGTGGAGCTAAAGAATTTTCACTTCAGTTGTGTGGTCATAAGCACACAAATTTTTTTTAACCAAACCACGCCCAGTCGATAATGTTGGGTTATATAAAATATTTTTTTCCCAGATTAATTTAATTTAACATTTTTTTTTATGTTATAGGGGGCATACTCGCAGACGGCTCACCTGATGGTAAGTGATCACCGTCGCCCATGGACACTTGCAACACCAGGAGTATCACAAATGCGATGCCGGCCTTTAAGGAAGGAGTACGCTCTTTTCTTGAAGGTTCTTGGGTCGTATTGGTCCGGAAACACTGCTGGCGACAACATATTCCACAGTTTTGTCGCACGTGGTAAAAAATTTCGACAAAAACGCACGGTTGTGGATAGCCACGCATCAAGATGATGGGGATGAAATTTTTGTCGCGATGTACGGTGGCGAAATGCAGCAGCTGGAATTAATCCGAACAATTCCTCGGAACACTCCCCGTGATAAATGCGATAGAAGATGCAGAGCGAAACTACATCCCGACGTCGTCGACGATTCGAGCCGCTCGGCGCTGGATGCGATCTAAAGGGAGAAGCTGGTACTGGTTAATTTAACATACCTGGGTCCGTTGGCAGGCCTGTCCCCCGTGAAGGCAGACAAGCCCCATAAGGCGAGGCCTCCGTCAGATTTGAGCAACTTCTCCGGGTCTTCGTCCGGGGTGGTGAGGAATACGCGTAGATCTTCGCTGTGTGTCAGTATAGGGTGCTTTGCCACTCGATCTGATAAATAAACCAATAGGCATAATAGGGGTGATGACGGGGTATAGTAAACGAAATTCTATTTAGTCCGTCAGTTAGATGATCAAAAAATAATGGACACGTATTTTTTCTTTGGGCAATCAAACAAAAAATGACAAAGTTATAGCGCGTCAAAGTTTGGGAGTAGGGGCTCGTGACGTCACTTTTTAGTGAATTTTCACTTATAAGTGTACTCAAACGTGACGTCATGCGACTTTTCAAATCAATATATCTCTGCAATGTTTATATTATGTGAAAAAAGAAAAAATACGTGTCCAATACTTTTTAATAATCTACCTGATAAAGGAAGAAAAAAAAATAGTCATCATCCCTATTGTTATTTTTAAAGCATGTAACTGCTTCATGTTTAAATCTAAAGAAAATATAACTAGAATCTTTTTTTGTGGGTTACTCTTCTGTGGGTATCTCTTCGCATTGTAGGTAACCCACAATGTTACCTATAATGCGAAGAGATGGCGCTGCCTTGCAGCTTAAGAATGGCTAGAAGAATTTCGACGCGGCCATCGAGGCCGCGGTACCATAATTGGTCAGTGCATTCGCCCGGATAGCGAAGGGTGCGGGTTCGAGTCCCGTCTGCTGCCTGGTCCGCGTTAAATATTTTCTGGTTACATGTTGTTTAAATAAATCAATATTCAATAAAATAAGTTTCAACGGGTTATTCATTTATTGACGTTTCGCATCTTTTGAAGGAATGCGTCGTCAGAATAATCCTATTCTACATATTTCATCCTTTGCAGGAATGCGTAGTCAGAATAATCCTATTCTACATATTTCATCCTTTGCAGGAATGCGTCGTCAGAATAATCCTATTCTACATAATCCATCCTTTGCAGGAATGCGTAGTCAGAATAATCCTATTCTACATATTTCATCCTTTGCAGGAATGCGTCGTCAGAATAATCCTATTCTACATAATCCATCCTTTGCAGGAATGCGTAGTCAGAATAATCCTATTCTACATATTTCATCCTTTGCAGGAATGCGTCGTCAGAATAATCCTATTCTACATATTTCATCCTTTGCAGGAATGCGTCGTCAGAATAATCCTATTCTACATAATCCATCCTTTGCAGGAATGCGTAGTCAGAATAATCCTATTCTACATATTTCATCCTTTGCAGGAATGAGTCGTCAGAATAATCCTATTCTACATATTTCATCCTTTGCAGGAATGCGTCGTCAGAATAATCCTATTCTACATATTTCATCCTTTGCAGGAATGCGTAGCCAGAATAATCCTATTCTACATATTTCATCTTTTGCAGGAATGCGTCGTCAGAATAATCCTATTCTACATATTTCATCCTTTGCAGGAATGAGTCGTCAAAATAATCCTAATCTACATATTTCATCCTTTGCAGGAATGAGTCGTCAAAATAATCCTATTCTACATATTTCATCCTTTGCAGGAATGCGTCGTCAGAATAATCCTATTCTACATAATCCATCCTTTGCAGGAATGCGTAGTCAGAATAATCCTATTCTACATATTTCATCCTTTGCAGGAATGAGTCGTCAGAATAATCCTATTCTACATATTTCATCCTTTGCAGGAATGAGTCGTCAGAATAATCCTATTCTACATATTTCATCCTTTGCAGGAATGCGTCGTCAGAATAATCCTATTCTACATATTTCATCCTTTGCAGGAATGCGTAGCCAGAATAATCCTATTCTACATATTTCATCTTTTGCAGGAATGCGTCGTCAGAATAATCCTATTCTACATATTTCATCCTTTGCAGGAATGAGTCGTCAAAATAATCCTAATCTACATATTTCATCCTTTGCAGGAATGAGTCGTCAAAATAATCCTATTCTACATATTTCATCCTTTGCACGAATGCGTCGTCAGAATACTCGTATTCTACATTACAAATCCTATCCTATTCTGACGAGGCATTCCTGCAAAGGATGCTCAACAAAAAAATCAGTGCATCTATACCGTTGAAACATGTTTTATTCAATGAGTGATGTGTGTGAAAACCTAAGAAACAAATATATCAATATTTCTAACACTCACACTAATTAGCTATTATTTTAAAATATGTAGATTAAAAATATAATATGTAGTTTTCTGACATTTTAATTCGATATTGATGCAATTTTTCTTGACTATTGAAGTGAAACTTCTTTATCGGCGTTGGAAAAAAATTTACCGTCACATTTTTTCGGTTACTCGTCACGTTTTTTGGTTACGCGCCATCTTTTTTTTAAAAGAGCACTATTTACCTCATCCGAACAATTGCTTCTTCTGTCAACTTTAAACAAAAAAGTATCGACAGCAAATATTCGTGTTTCACACAAGGTAAAGTAAGGTAAGGTAAGGTAAGGTAAGGTAAGGTAAGGTAAGGTAAGGTAAGGTAAGGTAAGGATACCACTTTAGTGGGTGAGTTTTTGAAAAATCTTAGCGCACGCCTATATATATATTTCTGGAAAGTTGCATGTAGATCATTTTTCGAAAAAAATGAGGCCATAAAGAAGTTTCACTTCTTACGTGTGTACACTAGTACACGCACACATTTTTGAAGTTATACTTCTTTAGGCGCGTTATGAAAAAATGATGAGAGTGAAATTTTAAGATGCGCGCGCATCACTGTAACAAAATTGTCGCTAAAGCGACCAACTTCATGCTGTTACTTTTGTGTTTACCGCACATTAAGAAAAAACCTACCAACAAAATAGAAATAGAATCTCTATTTAGTGGGTGCTAACGACTGCATTGTGAAGGCCTATCAAAAGTATTTATTAATCTGGAACAACGGAACCAAAGCGCGATTCAGGAGACTACAGCGCCATCTCTTGACCATTGGTGTAGTGTAGTAGAACCAAAAACCACATCTTTATTTTTTGTAATAAAGTAACAGTTATAGGTATTCATATTTATAATATCAAAAGTATTTATGAATCTGGAACAACGGAACCAAAGCGCGATTCAGGAGACTACAGCGCCATCTCTTGACCATTGGTGTAGTGTAGTAGAACCAAAAACCACATCTTTATTTTTTGTAATAAAGTAACAGTAGTAGGTATTCATATTTATAATATTTATCACATATGTTGTATTAAATTATATTCAGTAGCGATTTTAATTGAATATTTTGATTATTTATTTATTTTTTCAAATTAAAACTGAACTTTATTGACTGTGTCCTTTTCCAGACTTTTTATTAATTTATTGTAATTAATTATTTGCATGCAATTAAAAACTAATTTTAAACGATGCCAAAGAAGGATAACTTCTCACGCGCCTACATAAGTACACGCACCCATTTTTTTAATTATGAACCGATATGCGACTCAATATTACAATAAGAACTGCTATCCAAATTGTATAAAAATCTATGCGTGGTAACTTATACCACGCTTGATAACAGAGCTTAGTTTGCCTATATTTAAAAGGAAGCTTAAAATGTGGCTTATAATGAAATGTTTTTACTCAGTTAGAGAATATTTAGAAACGAAAATTGACTTAGAATAGAATAAGTAAAACGAAATAAGTACCTATAAATTTTACAATTAAATTAAGTTTGACATCCACATGCCCTGTCGTAGGCAAAATGGACGAACTAAATGAAAATCACCATCAAAAATGTATGTAACTGCTTGATGTTTAAATCTAAAGAAAATATAACTAGAAAAAATTCCACGCGCACCAGGCAGCAGACGGGACTTATAATGCGAAGAATTGTGGGTTATTTATAATGCGAAGAGATGGCGCTGCCTTGCAGCTTAAGAAAGGCTAGAAGAATTTCGACGCGGCCGTCAGGGCCGCGGTAGCAAAATCGGTCAGTGCATTCGCCCGGATTGCGAAGGGTTCGGGTTCGAGTCCCGTCTGCTGCCTGGCCCGCGTGGAATTTTTTCTAGTCATATTTTCTTTAAATATAATATGTAGATTTCTGACATTTTCATTTGATATTGATGCAATTTTTCTTGACTATTAGTAGTAGTTTTTTTTGTGAATTTGAATATTATTATTATGACGTGGAGATAGAGTGAGTAGGTATGATAAAGCGAAAGAGACAGCGAGTGAGTGAAAGGGTTATATTAGACGCATATAGAGTGAGTAGGTATGATAAAGCGAAAGAGACAGCGAGTGAGTGAAAGGGTTAAATTAGACGCATATAGAGTGAGTAGGTATGATAAAGCGAAAGAGACAGCGAGTGAGTGAAAGGGTTATATTAGACGCATATAGAGTGAGTAGGTATGATAAAGCGAAAGAGACAGCGAGTGAGTGAAAGGGTTATATTAGACGCATATAGAGTGAGTAGGTATGATAAAGCGAAGAGACAGCGAGTGAGTGAAAGGGTTATATTAGACGCATATAGAGTGAGTAGGTATTATAAAGCGAAAGAGACAGCGAGTGAGTGAAAGGGTTATATTAGACGCATATAGAGTGAGTAGGTATGATAAAGCGAAAGAGACAGCGAGTGAGTGAAAGGGTTATATTAGACGCATATAGAGTGAGTAGGTATGATAAAGCGAAGAGACAGCGAGTGAGTGAAAGGGTTATATTAGACGCATATAGAGTGAGTAGGTATTATAAAGCGAAAGAGACAGCGAGTGAGTGAAAGGGTTATATTAGACGCATATAGAGTGAGTAGGTATGATAAAGCGAAAGAGACAGCGAGTGAGTGAAAGGGTTATATTAGACGCACATAGAGTGAGTAGGTATGATAAAGCGAAAGAGACAGCGAGTGAGTGAAATGGTTATATTAGACGCATATAGAGTGAGTAGGTATGATAAAGCGAAAGAGACAGCGAGTGAGTGAAAGGGCTATATAAGACGTATATTTCCATGTTACTCACCCAGGAATGCGTGTAATGCCATCGTACGGACGCATACGAACGCGGGACAGTATCGGTCTAGCTGTTGTCTGGCCGAATGTAGGGGGGGTAATGGCGGAGTCGCTATTAAAGGGTGAGACGACGACAGACGCTTGTGGAGGGCCTGGGATTGACGAAACACAAGTATTATATAAAACTAGTAATCATTAACGCTTGCAGACTCCAAAATTAACACAAGAATTGAATCTAAAGAAAAGTTTTACTAGAAAAAAATCCACGCGGACCAGGCAGCGGACGGGACTCGAACCCGAACCCTTCGCAATCCGGGCGAATGCACTGACCAATTATGCTACCACGGCCCTGATGGCCGCGTCGAAATTTTCCTAGACTTAAGCTGCATATCTACACTACATATCTATTCTTGCTATTTCTTCTTTCAAATGTTTAATACTTGAAAAAGTATTCATTTGACATTGTGGGTTACCTACAATGCGAAGAGATGGCGCTGCCTTGCAGCTTAGGCTAGGAAAATTTCGACGCGGCCATCAGGGCCGCGGTAGCACAATTGGTCAGTGCATTCGCCCGGATTGCGAAGGGTGCGGGTTCGAGTCCCGTCCGCTGCCTGGTCCGCGTGGTTTTTTTTCTAGTAAATCTTTTCTTTAGATTTAAACATCTAGCAGTTAAATGCTTAAAAAATAAATAAAATCATAATAAATATGACTTTAAATGTAGAATATTAATTAATTACATAAATTCATTTTGTTTCACATTTGGTTTAGATTACTTTTTATATTATATAAAATAGAATTACAATATTTAAAAAACACACATTGATTGAATCCTCGAAATAATATATACTAACATAGCATTTAAGTTAAATATTGTTACTAACGATTTGATGGACCATTTTGTTGTCTGTAATAAACAATTTGAATTGAATTGAATTAACGCTTCCAGACTCCAAAATTAACGCAAGAATTTAAGTTATAATTTTATTATTTCAAGCATGTAACTGCTTGATGTTTAAATCTAAAGAAAATATAACTAGAAAAAAAAAGCCTTGCGGCTTAAGAATGGCTAGAAGAATTTCGACGCGGCCGTCAGGGCCGCGTTAGCGTAATTGGTCAGTGCATTCGCCCGTATTGCGAAGGGTGCGGGTTCGAGTCCCGTCTGCTGCCTAGTCCACGTGGACTTTTTTCTAGTTATATTTTCTTTAGATTTAAACAAGAATTGAATTTAGATATGATACATATAATATGTGTGCACGGAGGGCACGTCTGAAGTGAAACTTGTTTTCTTAACTAACCTAACATTAGGCGGTGCATAATACATACGGGAAGGGAGCAGCGCATGCATCACTCATATACAGGGTGTGACAAAAGTCCGAAATAAAACTTTAGGGTTTGGTTGTGTTCCTTGTATAGAATTACCTACGAAAGTTTGACGCCATTCAGACCACTTTTATTTTGTAATTAAATTTATAAAAATATCGTTTTACACCTGCCTATGACAACCCTATAAATGCGTACGATTACTACTACCTATACAGACCCCCCTCACTCCCCCAGGCGCCCCTGCGCCCCGCTCAGATACGTACAAATTTTTATTTCGGAATATATACCTACAAATTTTATTTCGGAATTCTGTAACACCCTGTATATATATATCATATATATATAAACATCATATATTTTATTATGTATTTCTGGAAACTCACAATTTCAAAAATATCACACACTAGTCATCATTTTGCAAATATGTATTATAATTCCATCTGTACTGAAAATCACTATTCCAGAGTGCTGGACACTTACCGGCATTTCTCTATATTCTGTTATTTATTTGTTTTCATTAATTAAGCTCCGATTTCATCTATTTTTAGTTTATTTATTTTATTGACATTTGTGACAACATAATGTTTTTTATCCGTTGCCATGGTTAAAAGTGAAAGGTGCGCAGATGAGGTTACGCACAAAAACGTAACGAGGTCATTAATGTTATTCATCGATAGATTTTACTCCTCACAATTTTCTCATACCGGGCCCCTTATATATGCAAATCGATTGTTAAGGAGTAAACTCCAGTTATTATTACTCACCCTGAAATGATTGTATCTCCGCCGCACATATTTAGGGGACGGCCATCTTGCGCATACGCAGCGCACGCGGTACGTCACGTACGTTTCCAGCGTAGACATCTGTTTTAACGGGGCGTCCACCTGACAGACAGACATATTATACGCTTTATTGAATATACATAAGGGGCCATTCAAAAAATACATCACACGTTAAAGGGGAGGGTGGGTCGACGAAGTGTGACATTGTGTGAGAGGGGTCCTAAGTTTCGTGACGTCACAATACAAAATCTACTTTTGAACTATTATCAAAAATCTTTAAAATTGTAGGTCATTATCTTCATTTGTTTCATTTAATGTCCCCACTGCTGGGACACAGACCTTCCCTATGGATGGAATAGGGAGATTGGGCCATGACCCACCATGCGGGCCCAGTGCGGATTGGTAGTTCGAACGGTTGCAGATGCAGCCGGGACCAACGGCTTAACGTGCCTTCCGAAGCACGGAGGAGCTCGAGATAGTAAATTTATGGTCACCCATCCAATGATCGACCATTGCGATAGTTGCTTAACTTCAACGATCGCATCCAAACTCTCTAACTACCTGCGCCATCGAGCTCCTCAAATAATTGCGAATACTACTATTAAATTATATGATTTAAAGTTAATAATCTTATTTTAGACGTAAATATCCTTAGAGTTATATTCTTAAATATTCATTATTTTATTAAATTAAAATAATAATACACGGAGATAACGTAACATTTATTTTAATAAGACAGTCAGTTAACCTAAGTTGTACTTTAATGTTTGTAAGCTGTCAATGGACTCTCGTCTAGGACTGCAGATTAGAGAAGGTTGTGCAAATTATGTACATTAAATGAAGTGTTAATATTGAAGACTACTGAATTTTATTTAAATAAATTCTTCCCCTGAAGCTATTCCCATAAGTCTTAAAGATCTAAGTGTACAGACTGCCGGTGATTTGAGAGCCATATGAGGTCTGTATATATGATGGAGCAATGACAAGTCAAGACAAATATGCTGTCTATACGTTGGTATTGGCCAAGGCTTGGCCAACATGTATTGGCGGCTTAAAGATTTACCTTCACAGCGATGTCGTAACCATGTTCCATGATCAAAGGGTCTCCGTCATCGTCGGTGGCACTCGGCGGCTCTGTGTCTTCCGTAGCATCTCCATCGTTGAGGTCCAACACCGCTGAGCTGCTCTCACTAGCCATTACCCTGAGAACAAAACACTTTTGTCTAAGAACTGCCCCATACCTGCCGGACCGTGACTCGCATAGAATTTGAAATTGTAAGTAAAACTCTATTCCAAAATAATTTATTCAATTACAATTCAGCTAAGCTTGTGGTCGTCATACCACAACCTTATTCCGGATTTATCAATAACTCTAATGAACAGACAAAAGCTGCAATTTCATTTGATTTTACATAGAAAGGTTTTAAATTTTAAATATCTTACTTAATTCATGCAGTCTCACAATAGCAGTGCAGCGGGTTTGATATTAAATATAATTGATAACCTTATCTAATTAACACAAACTTATTAGTTTTTGCATGATATGGATATTAATTAAATGTGGTTGAGTGAAACAATGGCTGTTTCATGTGTCATAATAGTGAGTGAGTGATACCAACAGAGATGAGTCTGCTCTATAAATAAAATAAAATAAAATAAAAAAGCTTTTTATTCCATATCCATTGGTTACTTCTACATTTTATTTATGTTAGTTTGTTAGTAAACCTAAGTATTATGTTGGTTTTTAGTATTTGTTAGTACAGTTTCAGACATGGATCCCATCTGGGTAAAAGCCTCCTCCATTGCTTTCCACTTTTCTCTATCTGTCCCCGCCTTCAGCCAGTCCCTGCCTGCCACAGACACAATATCGTCGGACCATCGTTTTCTGGGTCTGCCTACTTTTCTTTTGCCTTTTGGTCCGGACCATCCAGTGGACTTGAGGGACCACCTTTTGTCAGTATATCTTGACAGATGGCCCGCCCATTTCCATTTAAGTTTAAGGGCCTGTTCCAGAGCATCTGTTAGTCCAGTTTTGCTCCTTATGTCTGTACACCTTATTTTGTCTATTCTCCTTAATTTTAGCATGCTTCTTTCTATTGCTCTCTGGCATGTAGTAATTTTGTTTTTTATTTTATTTGTTTAAACCCAAGTTTGACATCCGTACAGTAGGCTTGGTAATAGGCATGTGTCTACTACTGTCTTTTTTAGTGATATATCGAGATTGCCTTTTAGGATTTCTTTGTGTGCCCAATATTTCTTCCATGTAGAATTTATTCTTCTATCCACTTCTTCTTCGTTACTGTTTGCTCTGAATGATACCTGTTTTCCTAAATATATATATTCATTTACATATTCTATATCTTTTTCTTCAATTGTTATTGGTTTATTTTCTGCATTAGTCATTATTTTCGTTTTGCTAGGATTCATGTGTAATCCCACTATTTTACTCTGTGTGTCCAGTGATTTTAACATATTTTCTATTTCTGGAGCTGTTTCTGCAAACAAGGCAATATCGTCGGCAAATCTTAGATGACTTAGGTGTTGATTTTGTATTATTATACCTTTACTCTTCCATTCTATAGATTGGAATATATTTTCTAGGACAGCGATGAACAACTTAGGTGACAGCGGATCTCCCTGTCTAACACCTCTTTCTATTTTGATTTCTTTCCCATAGTTTTCTAATCGCAGTCTGCTTACACTGTTACAGTATATGTTTTTTAAAATATTTATGTATTTATTATTTATTTTACATATGTTGAGTGCTTTCCATATTGAACTGTGTGTAATGCTGTCGAAGGCCTTTGTATAATCTACAAAGGCTATATATAATGGTCTGTTGTATTCTTTATACTTTTCCATGATTTGTTCTATTGTGTGAATATGATCTATTGTTGAGAAATTTGAAGGAAATCCAGCTTGTTCGGGTGGTTGGTGGTTATCTATATTAGCAGCTATTCTTGCAGTTAGTATGGATGTGAATAGTTTGTAGGTGCTTGATAGTAGACTTATTGGTCGATAGTTCGAAATATCTGTGGGATCGCCTTTTTTATAAAGTAGTATGATGTCTGAGTGAAGCCATTGTTTTGGTACTATCTCATATTCTAGAATTAAATTAAACAGGTCTGTTAAGAAGGTGATTATGATTGGTGCACCGAGTTTTATTGCTTCATTACTAATGCCGTCTGGGCCTGGGGTCTTCTCTGATTTTAGTTTCTTTATATGGGTTAGTACCTCTGTTTCTGTTATGGGATCTATTGTGTGATTTTCTCTTTCTGTTGGGTGTTCAATTTCTACATTTCCTATGTCTTCTTTTGTTTTCCTATATAATTTTGTATAAAATTCAGTAGCGCAGTTCATAATGTCATTTCGGGATTTTGTTTCTTTTTTCCCTTTTTTTAGTTTTTGAATCCATTTTTCATGTGTTTTAAGGTCTTTGTACGCTCGTTTTAAGCTTCGAAATTTTGTTAGTTTTTCTTGGATTATCCTCTGTCTGTAGTTTTTGTAGTCCTCTTTAATCGATTTGTTTGTCTTTTTGAATAGATCTTTTAGTTCTTTTTGTTTTTTGCTCTTATTTTTGGTTTTTATTAGTTCTGTGCGTTTGGTTATTAAATTTATTGTTTTCTCACTCATTATTTTGTGTTTATTATTTTTGTGATTTCCTTTTTCCATTTTCAGGCTCGTTGTTATGATTTCTGCTAGTTTGTTAGAGTATGTTTCGACTTCTTTAGAGTGTTGTAATATTTCTAGGTTCATTTGTATGTTTGCTTTTAGATTGTTAAGGTATGTTGTTATTTCTTCGTCGGTTTTCGGTATTCTCGGTATGGGTTTAAATGACTTTCTACTTAGTTTGTTTGGTTTTACTTGGAAAGAAGCTCTTACTGGTCTATGGTCAGATGCAAAGTGTATTTGGTTTAGGACTTCAACATTTGTGATTCTTTTAGGTTTGTTACACATTACAAAATCTATTTCATTTTTAGTTCGTGTATCTGGTGATTGCCACGTCCATTTCCGACTCTGTTTCTTTTTGAAAAATGTATTCATTATAGAAAGTTTATTTTCATTGGCATATTCAATTAATTTTTCACCTCTTTCGTTTCGACTTCCGTATCCATATTTTCCCATTATAAGATCTTCATGGGCTTTTGTGTGTCCTATTTTTGCATTAAAATCGCCCATTACCAGTGTGGTTTTTTCTGACATATCGTTTGCTGTTTTTAAGTCGTTATAGAACTGACAAATTTCTTCGTCTGTTGATCTTTCTGTCGGGGCGTACACCTGGATCAGTGTTATAGCCTCGTCTCCAAGTTTAAGTTGCAATACAGCCACTCTTTCCGATATGCCTATGAAGTTTGCTATGTTTAGTTTAAATTTTTTCTTTATTAGAAAACCGACCCCATATAGACCTTCTGTTTCTCCTATGTAGAGTAAAATGTAATCCTTGTACTCTTCAATACTACATCCCATTCTCCTTACCTCTGCAAGTCCTAAAATGTCGCAATCTATTTTTTTCATGGCGTGTGTTAATTCAAGAAATCTTTCTTCTGATGAGAGTGTTCTTACATTGTAGGTACATATCTTTATTAGTTCTTGTTTTTGTTTTTTGTTTTTATGTTCTTTGTTTTCCTGTTCTTTGTTTTCATGTTCTTTGTGTGGAGGGTAATGGTCTAATTCCCCACGGTGACCAACCGGATTGGGGAATATTGTTGTGTTTTTATTATGATTTATTTTTGTACTAATCTTATCTATTGTATTTTTTCGGCAACTATTGTTTTCTAGTTTTTTGAATTTGCTATATTCTTTACTGTTTGATTGGGATTAATTTTGGAGAATTTAGTGGGTTGTTTTACAATGTCTTCTTCTTGTACTTTGCTGAAGCTATTGGGGGGTGTAGAGGGTGGCGAAGATGATGCTCTCTTGCGTTTTTCCGATTCTTGCTGGTCTTTAATTATAAGTTTTCCATGCTTTATGTAGGCATATTTTCCTGATACTCTTGCTTCCTTAAGTTTCGCATATAAAGATTTCCTTAGATCCATTTCCTCTTTAGTGAGGTCCTCTGTTATGTAGATGCCCTTGGGAAGGTGTTTTTTGTTTGTAAGTATTTCATTTCTACGCCATACTAGAGTAAATACTATCTTTATTGGTCTATTTTTGTTTTGAACCTTTTTCCCAATTCTGTGCAATTTGCTTATCTCCCACTTGTCCCATTCATGGGTTGCATTTTGGCTTTTGTTTAAGTCGTTTAGTAATTCCAGCACTTGTTTCATGAGTTCCGTATTGTTGGTTTCGTTTTCTTCTACTCCGTGCAAAATTAAGTTTGTTTTTCTAGCTTCAATGTCTAAAATTTTCACTTTAGATCTCAGAGTTGCAACTTCTTCTTTCAACACTTCATTTTCCTTCCTTATATGCGATAATTGTTCCTCAATAGTTTTGCTAATAGTTTCCTTAATGATTTGTGTTTGTTTTTCTTGTTGTTTTTCCATTTCTTCTTTCATTTTAGCCCATAACAATTGCATTTGTTTATCCATCTTGATGTTATATGTTCGGTTTGATTGAATGTTTAAACCGATAAATAGTTGTTTTATTGTTGGTAACACCAATTGCCCACGTACGCGAAGTTTGTAAAGCTCATGATCTGCGGTTGGACGGACCGACCTTCCGACCAAGTCGGAACGTGTGTGGTGTGCCTTCGTCTCTAAGTAGTCTGTCACGCAAGTTGTTTTGTCTATGATAACATGTAATAACCTCAAAATTTTGCTTCGGGTTTTTGGTTGTTTTTAAATTGTTTACACTTGTCTCACTTATCTGATTGCTGAGATGTTGCACACATTTGTTTTTTTTTTTTTCCACAATAACTTCACCAAAGCATTCGATCGATCACTTTAGCACCAAAATTGAATTTAAAATAGCGGAGGAGCAATTTCGCGATGTTTACACTTTGAGGGTTGCCAGCCGAAAAGTCTGCTCTATACTACTTTATTATTAAAATGTTATTTAGTTATACTTGATATTCGACACAGCAATCAAAATGCAGGAAAACAATAATTGTATATTTTACATTATGTAACGGAAGGTAACTTCATGAATCATCTCTTATTGAAGTAATTTTTCAAGTTATGATTTTATTTATTTTTAAGCATTTAACTGCTAGATGTTAAAATGTAAAGAAAAGTTTACTAGAAAAAACCATGCGGACCAGGCAGCGTTCGTGCCATCTCTTCGCATTGTGGGTTACCTACAATATGAAGAGATGGTACTGCCTTGCAGCTTAAGGCTAGGAAAATTTCGACGCGGCAAATAGGGCTGTGGTAGCATAATGGTCAGTGCATTCGCCAGGATTTTGAAGGGTGCGGGTTCAGTCCCATCCGCTGCCTGGTCCACGGGTCTTCACAACTATATGTATATAGAAGTACAGGGAGATAAATAGCCCTTGCCGAGTTTCTTGACAGTTGTTCTCAGTGCAAGGTCTCCTGCTGTAGATTTGCGAAACAATGACGTAGCTTCTAGACATCCATGAGAGCCTGTAAAAGTTTAACCTGAATAAACTTTTTTTGATTGATTGAAATCGGTATATTTATTTGTTCATAGTCAACACTTCATTTATGTTGTTTGTTTTTTTTTTCACGGACTACCCCCTATGCGGAGGATGCATGGAGGCAGAAGAAACAGCTACTCACGTTTTGCTGGAATGCAACGGAGTGGCCAAATACTGGGCGAAATACCTCGGCTCACCGTCGGAAACCTTCAAGAGGCAGTCACCAACGTGAAACGGAGCTGGGCTGGCTGGAGTGATTCCGGCCATACACCCTCCTCACGCAAAACAGGCGCCATAAGGACGTCGAGTTGCGGAAACGCCCGTAGCAAGAAGAAGAAGAAGATGTTGTTCGTTTGTTCCATAAGTTAAACACAAAGGCATCCAAAACCGAGTAAAAGTATTACCGTAACAAAACGATTGTTCATTTATTTTGTAAGGTACGCGAAAATAACACAAACATCACGAAATGATCACAAGAAAAGGGGCGTTTATTATTTTTAAATGTGTTTAAGTAGTACAACAACAAAACACACTTTAGTTAAACTATGTCAGAACGTCTAATAAACTCACTCATTATCAAACATCTAAACAATAAAAGCTAAAACGAATGTATTTGCAAATATTGCAAAAACGAAAGCTTGACCCATTTTGCAAAACTGGATCAATAACAAAACAAATAACGTAAATTGTATGGGACATACAGATAAAGATTACTAGCTCCAAATTTATATTAAACAAATTACCTTGTTTATGTACTTTGTTTCGCGAAAATGCCGTTTTCTTTGTATTTTCTGGCGGAAAATTGTAATCACGAATTTTCACTTTTGATTTGACAACAGGCAATCCTTTACACGTACGATAAACTCAGTGCCTACCTCAAAGTGTCATGTGATTTTATATAATATACGTGTAAAGGAACGAATAGTTACAAAATCTCGACTTAGGCGCTTTGCAAACGGCGCCGGCGGGGCGGAGCGGGCCGGTCAATTTCGCCGCGAACGATAGCACTAAGTGAATCCTATACTACAAACGCACACAGAGGGTAAAAAAAAACCGCGCCTTGGGTGCCCGGCGGGCACTGGCGGCTAGCCGCCAGCATTTAACTGCTACTGTCGAGTCGTTACATCTCTAGAGATGTAACGACTCGACTTTTCGAACCGGTTCAAGCTGGTAGATTTGACTGACTTGACGGTGTAATTTTGTTTTCATTATTATGTAATATGCGACGTAATTGCCCAGCTTCTAAAAAAGTAGACTAAATATTATTCCTAAATAGTTGTGAGAAAACTTTTTAATTAAGTTGTTTGTAATAATAATAATAATAATAATAATTCATTTATTTCAGATAACTGTGATCCATATTTGTTAGTAGACTTATTCTATGTTAGTAGTATATGTAATAGATTAATAATAGATTAGGACAGTACATGATCTTTTTTTTTTTTCTTTATGTCTTCATCACACTCACGCAATGCTTGATAAAGCAACTATCCATTTTGTTGGCAACAGTCATTAGGATGGTGTTTGAGCTTGCTCGTATTCTGCTCAGCAATGAAGCTATTTTTTTGCGCATGCATGCGTGAAAACCGTCAGTGCGCTCCTCGGCAAACATACTAGAGGCACTACAGAATCTTGGCAAACCCAACAGCATCCTAAACGCATTATTATATTGTACGCGGAGAGCGTTAAGTGATCTCTTAGAATAACTGCACCATAGGCTTCCCGTGTAAAACGCCTGACAGTATGTTTTAAACAGAGTAATTTTAACTTCTTTCGAACAACGGAAAAACCTACGGGCCAGCATATTCGCCCTCACAGTCAACGCTCTCCGCTCCCTTTCTATATCTAATTCGTCTTTTAAGTTATCACAAATCACATGACCTAGATATTTAAAACTGTTGACTCTCCTCAGAGACACTCCATTTAACATTATAGGTGGAATATGCTCTAACTTTTTCCCCTTGGGTGTGAAAATCATAATTTCACTTTTTTTAACGTTATATTGCAAACCATGGTCTTTAGCAAAATTTTCACATATCTCCAAAAGTTTCCTCAATGCACTGACAGATGGTGCCAGCAGCACCATGTCATCAGCGTAACTAATATTGTTAATAGAAGTACCATCGATATAGCATCCTAATGGCTGCCTACTGAGACCATCTATCAGCTCATCTACATACAGATTAAACAGGTGAGGAGAGGATACGCCTCCCTGTCTTACACCACACTTCAACCCATATGCATCAGAGAGCGACCCAGACCATTTTACATGGTTTATTTGATTCCGATACCAATATTCAAAAACAAAAACTATTTCCTTAGGTAAACTAGTGTCGCGAAGCTTCCGCCACAGCATATTGTAACATACTGTGTCAAAAGCTCGCGACAAGTCGAGGAAACAGGCATAGACCGGAGTTCTTCTATCCACGTAGTACTTAACTGTATGTTTAAAGCTAAGAATAGCAGTCTCAGTGGACAAGCCTGGTTTAAACCCAAACTGACCATCGTGAAAATGTAAATGAGTGGTTAAGTGTTTATCCAGAACTCGGTCAAATACCTTAGCTATTATTGTAGCCAGAGAGATTGGTCTATAATTACACTTATCGGAAATATCACCCGTTCTGTTTTTTACTACCGGCACGACTATGGTCTTCATAAAGTCCTGAGGAAGGTATGAGTGACTAATGCACAGCGAATAGAACATTGACAAGATTCTAGCTAAGTGAGGGCCCGCATTCTGTAGGTGCTCGATGCTAAGACCATCATGACCCGGGGATTTACCTCTGTTCATGCCACGTATAACATCTGTAACTTCCTTTGCAGAAACCATAATATTACAATCCCCGCCCTGACAGCTCCCATCATCGACCACCTGAGCGGAACGTTCAAGTGAGGGTTCTACACAAAAATGCTTCACAAACATGTCCGCAATTCCCTTGGCATCTGAAATGCCCTCAACACTGGCAGGGAGACTAGACTTCAGGTTGAGTCCTCGAACGGCTTTCCAAAACTGTGGAAAACTTTTTTGTGATCTTTTACTGGCTATAATATCCATTTTCACTTGTTCCTGGTTAGATTGACACCATTTGATTTTGGATTTAAAAGTTTTTCTACTGTTACACATATCTTCAAAAAGTCTACCACAATTCGGCCTACCGCCGCAGACCCACTCCCGATATTTTAGTCTAGCTTCGGCGTGGGAAACACCAACATGTTTGTTCCAGCCAATTATGTGTTTATGTTTTTTAAAGTTCTTTGCAACATATGTCCGCCTAGCACACTCTCTCAAAGCATTTATTATATTATCATACATTTTATCCAATTTCATCTTATGACTAGCAATATTACAATATTTGCCCGCACATAATGTAAATATTTCAGGAAAATCTATTAATTTCAAACTATTATTACATAACGTTAAATACTCATACATTTGTGAGATCTGGCGTTCACCCCATATAATTGACTTATCGGGCAAAGTATCAAGCGTAATCTTTTTATGAATTAGCTTTAAATTACAGCTCACTTCTAAAGGATAGTGATCTGACCACAAAACGTCATAACGTACCTTAATGTCCATTACGGTATCCAATGCTGATTGGGTTACAACACAGTGATCCAACCATCTCCTCGACCCATGAGCATCACTTACAAAAGTATGTTCACTGGAACATAAGCCAAACCTAAGTATATCCGCACACAGCCACTTCTGATCGGCACAAAAACGAGACAGCTCAGACTCAAATAACTCCGTTGGATGCGCATTAAAGTCACCAAGAATAAACACAGATTCTATATCATGAATATCTATAATTGCACTTATTTCACTCAAACATTGTGTGAATTCCGGCAGATTGTCAACAGCCTGCGTAGGCATATAGACACTAAACACAATAAATAACCGGTTTGTCAACTCAAATTGCACAGCTGTGATGCGATCGCTCGCGCAATTAATTACCTTTACGGAGTTGAATGCATTTCTACGCCACAATACAGCCGTGCCTCCGTACGGCCGGCCGCGTAGCAAACCGGTTGAGATATCCACTGCCGATTTGCCCGTGTAGTCGAAATCCGCGTGTATTGTCCCGAGAAAAGGTATATCGTACGGGAGAAGCCATGTTTCCTGTAATGCAACTATGTCCGCAGAATCGCATAACTGTGCTATACAATTAATTGATCTTTTAACACTTTTACAGTTAAAACTTATTAGTTTACAATTATCCATTTTTGTTTTGTGAAAAATATCCATTTTCGTCTTTTCGTAAGGCGCCAACAAATCGTCTAAATGTTATACCCTTAGGCCATAACTGTGCATCCATAAATACCGTAAGCTTGCTTCGAGGTATCATCATTTTATATGCATCATACTCTCGTTCTATCTTAGGCTTTATCTTTTCTAAAGAGACTGTAACATCTGTTTTCTGTAAAAGGTAATTAGCTATGTCTTCAGCCGATGTACACTTATCCACATTATTTATGAACAGTGGGACATTAACGTCTGCAGCTTTGAATTTTACTTCAGAATTAATTATGGCCTCTCCCTTTGTAGTCTCCAACCTATTTCTAAATCTTCGCCTCTGAACTACTTTCCATTCTTCGCTGGGTTTTTTATCCTTCCATTCTCCCTTCTCACCGAGTACGCGGGCAAAAGTTTTGCTGCGTGGTGCGGAAGAAGCCCTGGTCACTGATGACGATGGCGGTCTGGAGATACTATGATTCTGAATAGCAGGGGGAGTTTCACATACACCCGTGCGCATAGGTCTGTATGATGCTACAGCCGCCTGTGAGTGAGTTTTTGGAGCAGACGTCGCCATTAGCCTGGTCTCCAACTTACTGTCGCCTTGTGTTGTCGCCACATGTAGTGTTTTGGGCTCTGTCTGCTTAGAGGTAGTTACTTCGGACCCCGAGATGTGGAGCAATCCTACAGGCCCACTGTCGTGTTTCTCAATGAAGTCCATTAAATTCGAACCTCCTTGACGTAACGTACTTACGTTAGTCAGTGTTTGTGCCAAATTCAGTTTCTACGACTCAAATGATTTTACAAAAATAAGTTACGTATTTATTATATTGTTGATTATTAAAATTGTATTTTATTCTCAAAGTTAAGAAGTACGGTCTTATGTAATTAATAGAGTTTATATATTTTTTTGTAATTTTTTAAACACGGTATTACATAGATATTTGTTTATTTTTATTTTGACATTTTTAATTCTGATTATTATTATTTTTTTTTCATATTTTAATTGTTATTTTTCAATTACCTTTAAATATTTGCACGTTGTAATATCAACAAAATATGTAGAATTAAAAAAAATTAACACCTGTTGTTTCGTAAGTTTTATTCGTCAACTCGTCAAACGGTTCAAACCGGTTCATACCGCGGTTTACTGAAAATTTGGCGGTTCGGTTCGGAAACCGATTTGCATGTATTACTAACCGATCAAATCCGGTTTGTCAAAATTCAAGACCGTAACATCACTACTGGCGGCGCGGCATGTCCGCGGCTGCCCGCCGTGTATCATACAAACCAGTTGATATGCAGTAACGCAGACGGCGGCGCGGGGCGGCTAGCTCACTCCGCGCCACGCGCTTCTTAGTGATGGACTATTCACTGGAACGAACGTTCTGAACTGACTGCCTCTGCCCGTCGTGTGCTTTGTGTACGTGGCGAGAGCAGCCGCAGACATCGACGAGTAGACGTTTTTATTGCTTCGCGGACAAAAAGCCCGCCTCGCCCCGTCGTCTGCAAAGCGCCTTAAGCTTCAGTCACACACAGCGAATATTCGCTTCGAATGCCTACATGCCGCGACTATTCACTGTGTGTGACAAGGGTACTCGCAGGGAATAGCTCCGATAGATCCGCTCAAGTGAGCTCCAGTCACATACAGCGAATACTCACTGTGAGTGCGTTGCAATTACAATTCGATGCTTGCACACATAGTGAGTAATGTACGCGAAAACTCGCGTTAAAACATGTTCAGCTAATTCAATTCGCGGCGAATGAATGTATTCGTAGTGGATAGCCTGCCACATTGAGAATAGTCGCGGTAAGTAGCGCCGCTATTCGTAGCGAATTTAGCAGCGACTGCACTCGTTTAGCTGAAAAAGAAAAATTGACGGCCGTAAAACTCTCTTTTGAAGTAAGGCAAAGGGATTAATGCCCATACAGCCTAGTCGTCAGTTTAATTATATCTTTTTTTACATTACAACGATCGATGTGACGCATCCTAATGTTTCTTGGAGTGTTTTGCACGAAATGTATCGAGTTGACTTTTTCGATAAGCTTCTGTGAGTAAACACTACAATAAAGTCCTTACGTCCATTTAACCGGAGTAGCGTATATTATAAAGATTCCACTAATTCTTCAGTTACACAGATGGTTGTAACACACTATGAATGAATTTAAGGATAATTAAATTAAGACGTCAACCGCACTCGATGAAATCCCGCCAAAAACCCTATTCGCTGTGTGTGACTGTGGCTTTATCGACTGTAATCTGAGAGATTATTAGCCAGATTGTCTATGCTTCGTTGTGACGTATGCTGGATGACATTTGCCTATGTCAAAATCGTGAAAGTTTATTTTGCTTTTCACCTTTTGCACTGGTGTACAGTATAATTAGCACATATGTTTACTTTTACAGTATTAATTACTGCCATTAGCTAATAACTTTAAGCGAGTGTTTTTACTTCACCAGTTGCTCAACATAAGCCGCCACGATTACTGCCAAAATGCAAGGCGTGAGTGCTCCGCGGGAGCAGGCTCCGCCAGTGTTAAGTACGAGTTCCACAATCCTCAACATGAGAGAAAAAGAAAAATACATTGAAGATTTCGACTTTCCCTTCTGCGATGAGTCTTCCAAATACGAGAAAGTCGCCAAGATCGGGCAGGGAACCTTCGGCGAAGTGTTCAAAGCTCGCGCTCGAAATAGTAGCAAGAAATTCGTGGCTATGAAGAAAGTGCTGATGGACAACGAAAAAGAAGGCTTCCCAATTACAGCTCTGCGTGAAATCAAGATCCTCCAACTACTCAAACATGAAAACGTGGTGAATCTTATCGAAATATGTCGAACGAAGGCCACATTACACAACAAATATAGATCAACATTTTATCTAGTATTCGACTTCTGTGAACACGATTTGGCGGGCTTATTGTCGAATGTGAACGTAAAATTCAGTTTAGGTGAAATAAAAAAAGTGATGCAGCAACTACTGAATGGACTTTACTATATTCACAGCAACAAAATCCTACACAGGGACATGAAAGCTGCAAATGTGTTGATTACAAAGAATGGTATTTTGAAATTGGCAGATTTTGGTTTGGCGAGAGCCTTCAGTGTTGCGAAATCGGGACAAGCCAACAAATATACAAATAGGGTAGTGACTCTGTGGTATAGGCCTCCAGAGCTATTATTAGGTGAGTGAACAGTCTTGTTTCTTGTTAATAGGAATAATTTTATATTTCATATATGAGGAGCTGGTGAACTAAACGGTATAATTACACATCTGGTAAAACTTCTTCATTTTTACAGTCCTGAGGTTTTGGGCCCGCTGAATTTCAATTTCAACTCATTTTCAATCAAAACTGCCTAAAACTGTGTTAGAATTACTAAAATTATAAATATAAAAACTAGACCAAAAGCTCACTGTAGGTATGTCTCACAGTTTTTTACAGCTCTTGTAAAATTTTATTTTATGTAATTATACTGTTTTGTTCACCAGCTCCTCATATTATACAGTTGACAATATAGGGATACAGAGGAGCATCTGTTCGAAAGCGGCTATTTCCATGCTATATAAATTTTGATAAAATAAAAAAAAATGTATGCTGATTTGATGATGTATGTGAAGTGTATTTTTTTTATTCAGGTAATTCATGGAGAGGCCACTTATTTTTAGGGTGAATTTATTTGTTATTGGTTTTTATTAAAAATCACAAAATTAAGTAATTAAAAATGGAAATAGCACTTTTTGGTTTGATATTTGGAAAAAATATATAATATATATCTTAAAAAGTACTGACAATTAATCAATGCAAAGTTGTTTTATATATTTGGCATAAATGTAGCTTCCAATTAAAAAAAAAAACTTAAAAAAGTTTAAAAAAATATATTATGTGTCGAACAACAACTTTTAAATGAGCTAAGAATTTAAGTTTAAATTTGAAGGGGTTATAGTCACTTTCGATCAAGACTAAACATAGGCTGTGTTAGGATCTTAGAATACCAGTAGGATTGACGAAAAAAAACTATAAATCAGTAAATACAGAAATAAATAAATAATATTTGAACAGACGCTCCTCAGTTGCAAGTTGAAGAAATTTTACAGATATGGACAACTTAATCTAATTTAGTTCTACGTAATGGATTTTTGTTTTTATGTTGAATTGGTTTCTAAGAATGTAAACAGACTAGATCTTCTTGTTCACCATATTATTATTTTTTCTTTAACAATATTTTTTGTCATTTTAAACAGATAAGCTTTAAAAAGAGTTAATAGTCATTATAGCTCTAATGTTTTTCACAAAGGTAATATTAATTAGTGTGCATTACCTTTTTAATGGTCTCATTAACTCATTTGTTCTATTGTCATTAGTAACAATTATTCATAAAAGAGTTGTTGTGATTCTACAAACAGCCTGTATTTCTATAGAATTAATTATATCAAATGTGCACATTTAAGACCAATTTAGAAACAGCTTCTTAATGAATTCCCTTTTTAGATTTTACTAAAAACATTGAGAAGTGAAACCATAATGTATTATTGGATGTTCAATATTTATTTTTCTCTATCATTAAGTGCAGGGAAATACATAACTTTTTAGGACACTACACAATTCATAGTACCAATATTTCTTAAATGGTGGCCACTCCTTTATGCTGTAATTTGTAGAGATATATATTGTTTTAAACTTTCATGGTCACTAACATTATAGATATTAACGGGATTGTTACCATGTACCTTGTTTTTTATGAGTCTCCGATATTTCGGCACTGTTGCAAGCGCCATGATCACGGAGTAACTGAAGTAATTGTGGGTAGATGTTATTGGCAGACATATCGGTCTACCCTCTGACGTCGTCTTTTACTGCGTTCGATACTACCACTACCATTGGTCACATTCTCACTATTCACTCGCATTTGTTCCCGGCACACAATACTCACAGTATCAGATCGCGGAACGACACTTTTTTGATTTTTGCGGTTTTTACACATACGAACCACTGGATTCCACACACTAGACAATTTAAACCCATCCTCATGATCGAAATTCTTGTGTTTGGTTATTTCAATTGAAATAACTGAAATAACCAAACACAAGAATTTCAATTGAAATAACTGAAATAACCAAACACAAGAATTTCAATCGTGAGGATGGGTTTAAATTGTCTAGTGTGTGGAATCCAGTGGTTCGTATGTGTAAAAACCGCAAAAATCAAAAAAGTGTCGTTCCGCGATCTGATACTGTGAGTATTGTGTGCCGGGAACAAATGCGAGTGAATAGTGAGAATCTGACCAATGGTAGTGGTAGTATCGAACGCAGTAAAAGACGACGTCAGAGGGTAGACCGATATGTCTGCCAATAACATCTACCCGCAATTACTTCAGTTACTTCGTGATCATGGCGCTTGCAACAGTGCCGAAATATCGGAGACTCATAAATTAGTACATTTTTCATGTTTTTTTTATTTTTTTGTCACTGACAGGTGATCGCAATTATGGACCTCCAGTAGATATGTGGGGCGCAGGCTGCATTATGGCGGAAATGTGGACAAGGTCACCCATTATGCAGGTCAGTTTTTCCTATACATTAAACTAACATTTTTGGCCACTTACTGGATTGCCTAGACTCTTTGGGTTTCTAGTACAGATATTAACAGAAAAATAAAAAAATGGAAATCAATGTAAATTCGGCTTTAATGTAGTATTAAAGCCTAATTTACAATACGAAATTAGAAATTAGGCATGAAAGCAGGTTTGAAAATAACCGATTTTATAATAAATATCAAAATGTCCAAAATTTATGAGCACTTTTTAATGTATGATTTATGAATCAATTAGAGCGCAAAATAAAAAGGATATATATTAAGATAGGCTTATGAGTAGAGCCGCCGACTAGTCGGGGAAGACGACTATTCGGCATCATTTATAGTCGACAACTATTCGGCAAAATATACCGATTATAAATTGGCACATAACATTGAAATAAAACTCAAAACTTACGCTTGTTTTGGATATTTAAACAGTACCTAGCGTATGTATTTAAAGTTACCTACAGTCTTAAAATATATAAAAAAAATAAGGTAACACAGTAAGAATTAGGAACATAAGAATCTGTCACTAATGAGGGCTATCGCGTATGAATCCGCCGCTAGAGGCGCTAGTGTAGCGTGAGGTCTCCGAAATGTCAAATGTTATTGCTTGTTGGTTGACTACGCGGGTTTATTTCTAATTAAAATAATGTTGTGAATAATTGGTAACAATTCGGCTTAATTATGGCAAATATGAGTTATGTGGCAATGAATGTCAGTTATTAAAAATTTGAGCTTAGAAAAATGATTATGTTCCCATTTTTTCCGTATAAAACGGAAATGCGCGTCACTGTGGCATGGCCTATTATGTTTAGGATATGGTTCTTTTGTGTTAAAATACGATCTAAATGTAACCTTTGATTTCATGTGCGTATTAATAAACTTTAAAAGTTACAATTTAGGACCTCACTCAACAGTGGCGCCATCTGGTGAGGCAGAAAACGGTAGCCCTCTTTCAGATACCTTAACACAATGAATATCGCACGTAACAAATGGCAATGGGAAGTAATTATGTATTAATTGAGTAAAATTTTAAGTGCTAGCCAGGGCCGTGCCTGACGGGCGTTCATTGCGTGCACCGCACGCAGGCGGCCGAAATTAAGAGGCGGCCAAATCGTTACAAGTTGTTTACTGGGCAAAAATACAATCGGCAAAAAACATATAAATCTCATAAAACCGGTTTTTAGCCGGTTTTTCTTTTCAGAAACCGGTTTTGGGAACAAAACCAATATTTTTTTTCGTTCTCGATTTCGGTTAACCAAAAACTGATTTTTTTCCCGGTTTGATGCCCTGTGTATAATAATAAACATTAAAAATTAAAGTAGTTTTTTTAATGTTATCCTGGGGGCGGCCATACAGACTGGCACGCAGGCGGCCATATACAAAGGCACGGCCCTGGTGCTAGCGAGTCTTAAAGACGACGACCTCCGTGGCCGAGTGGTTTGTACGCCGGGTTTCATGGTGACGCCGACTCGAGAGGTTAGGAGGAGAGGAGATTCGAATCCCGGTGGGGGCAGATGATTGTGTGATGAACACGAACATTCGTATTCCAGTCATGGATGTTTAAATATGTATTTCTATATAAATATACTTATATATGTCCAGTATAATATGTATTCTATCCGTTACCCTAGCATCCCATAACACAAGCCTACAGTGCTTACTTTGGGGCTAGGCTAATTGGTGTGCGTGTTGGAAATATTTATCTATACTAATATTATAAAGCTGCAGAGTTTGTTTGTTTGTTTGAACGCGCTAATCTCTGGAACTACTGGTCCGATTTGAATGATTCTTTCAGTGTTGGGTAGTCCATTTATCGAGGAAGGCTATAGGCTATATTTTTTTTTGTCAAAATTCGGGGATCCGTAAAAAAATTGCTATAATGTAACACAAGGTGTTAAATCGAAAACCTATTTTTGCGTGCGCTGCAAAAACTATTGACAATAGAACAAAATGATATACTACGGGTTTGTAGATCCCATTAAGACCTACAAAAAAGTCCGCGAGAACATATATCTAGCTATCATGGTTTAATCACAATAACCGATTTTGTGTTCAAAATAATTATTAAATCGTCTGAAGAAAAAAAACTACGTTAAATATGTATCGTATTATTAAAAACACAAACAACCCTTAATTTTCACCCCTCTACCACTCATATTTTTATGGCGATACGAAGTTCGCTGGGTCAGCTAGTTTCTTAATAAAGAAGTCCATTGGTATTTTTTTTCCTGAGAGGCTTATGATGTTGGAACGTGAATATTTCAGCTTGATTTGGGAGACGTGTCGTGCGTGAGCAAGCCGAGTAATGACCAAATATTCCTACCACATTCCTAAGGTTGCCATTAGAATGATCGTTTTGCAGAATAGTCGGCAATCCGAAAACCGATTAGTCGGCTAGTCGGTTTTATTTAACATGCTTAAAATTAAATTGCATATATATATGTCGGCGGATGGCGTCTCACTCGCTCCTTCGAAACGTTAAACCGACAACAAATGTCATCAGTCAGTGTACCATTGCTTTGTGAAACGTCAAGTAATGACAGTGATAGCTGTCATCACTTGGGAGTGGTCTATGCTAAGGGTAGTATTTATGGGGGTAACGCTTCATTGGAAGGGGCATTCGGCATTCAGACGTGAGCCGCGATAGTGATCGGACGTTAGCAGAGAACTCTCCACGCTCCGCAAAGCAATCCGTTTATGCCTTTGCAATCATTCATTAACCACTAAGTGGTTAATAATCCACCGTTATTAGACACTAACATTCATAACGCGCCCGCGGCCAACTTCATGCTGTTACTTTTGTGTTACAGTGATGCGCGCGCATCTCGAAATTTCACTCACATGATTTTTTCATAACGCGCCCGCGGCTAACTTCATAATGTTACTTTTGTGTTACAGTGATGCGCGCGCATCTTAAAATTTCACTCTCATATTTTTTTCATAACGCGGCTAAAGAAGTATAACTTCAATAAAAATTGTAATAATGATTATGTTATTAACAGGGTCCGACAGAGCAGCAGCAATTAATACTGATTTCCCAGTTGTGTGGGTCATGCACTCCTGACGTATGGCCCGGAGTGGAGAATCTGGACTTGTACAACAAGATGGAGCTACCCAAAGGTCAGAAGAGGAAAGTCAAGGTATGTGTGTACCATCATCATCATCAGTCTATAATTATTCCCACTGCTGGGGCACAGGCCTTCCCTATGGATAGATTAGGGAGATTGGGTCGTGACCCAGCAATTGGGTGCTAACGATTGTACATGTAGTTGGGACCAACAGCTTAACGTGCCTTCTGAAGCACGGAGGAACTCGAGATAGAAGATTTTTGGTCACCCATCCAATGACCGACCACTGCGAAAGTTGCTTAACTTCAATGATCGCAGCCTAACCACCTGCGCCATCGAGCTCCTTATATCGATTGACACATCTTTTTAATAAACAATCTTTGATTAATTGTTTATTTTGTTGTTCACAGGAACGACTAAAGCACTATGTAAAAGATCCTTACGGTTGTGACTTGTTGGATAAGTTGCTACAGTTGGATCCGGCGAAGAGGTGAGTCCGTTTTGATATTCATATCAGTGATTTTACGGATATCCTATCCCTATCTACGGATATCCGAGGCAGAAGAAAGATCCGTATCGGCGGATCTTGACAAAAATATCCATATTCGGTTCCGTATCCGCGAATTTACATTCTTAACGATCTGGCACATCACTAATACATATCGGCAGTGGAAAGACAAAATCCCAGTGCCGTCTTTGACCTATTGGAGGCCCTGGGCATATTATAATGGGGCCCCTACGGCCCCGGTTTGGTCATTTAACAGGAACTAGGGACTTTGTATTTGATCTGAGGGGGGCCCTATCTATCGCGGGGCCCTGGGCACTTACCCAAAGTGCCCACTGGGAAAGAGGGCTCTGCCTAGAAGAAAGATCTGTATCGTCGGATCTTGACAACAAATATCCGTATTCGGATCCGTATCCGCGAATTTACATTCTTAACGATCTGGCACATCACTAATAAGACAAAAGCGCTTACACGCCATTGGTCGAAAATGAGTTATATATATACAGACCGTCCCACGGGTTTGGAAAAGTATATTAAATATTGAAGAAAGGGTATTATACTAAAAGAAGACATCGTTTTATTTTTAATAATAATTAGAACTGCATTCCAATTAAGGTTCCAAGGTTTAATATTGTAATTTTAATAGATTTGTATCATCTAATGTGAGCATAAAAATTCAAATGTTATATTTTAGTCTTTATTTTCATTATTTGGTAAAATTTAGTACAGGTTTGTTATAATATTGATAAAAATGCACTCGGAAATATGTTTTGAAATTACCTTCGATGGATTGTAAATTGTAAATATTTTTGTCTCATTTTAATTTTCCTCTCTAGTAATAATACAGTTTGTTTATTTTATACATTGATAGGAACACTGTTTCATATTATAAGACAATGGGCGTTAATTCTGCAACACAGTTTTTGTAAAACTATAGCAGATTTAACGATTCATAATTTTATGTACATTGCACTTGTTCCAAATAAAGTTATTATTATTATAATTTTAACAAAAATCGCCTGCCAAATCCGGGAATCAGTCTCGTGAAATGTGTAACAACAAAAGAAAGAAAGAAAGAGGAAAGAAAGAAAAAGCTTTTATTGACCTTACACAAGAATGTAGAAAAAAAAACAATAAACATAGCAACAAAAATAAAATAACAACAGAGCAACAATATGGAGAGAGAAAAGGCCAATCAGGACCCTGCCTCAGCTTAATGCTGTTATAGTAGGAGTGGAATATTCCCACCATAACAGCGCTGGTATTCTGGCAGGGCCTGTACGAGATTGCTAGAGACAACAGTATACAAAACATATGTAGTTTATGATAACTATCGAAAGGGTAAATAATGAGGATTAATTTTTCCTTAATAATATAGCATTTTAAATGAAAGAAAAATCACGAAATATGTCTTCTTCTTCATCTTTCTCTAAACAATGTGGGCCTGGTGATTTGTACCACGGACCCCTCTTTCTCAGTGGGCAAGTGCCCAGGGCCTCGCGATCGATAAGGGCCTCCCTCAGATCAAATACAAAGTCCCTAGTTCCAGTCAGATCACCAAACGATAACCAATATTTATTACCAAAAAAGTTACATAATTCGATGAAATCGAACCTAAATTACTGACTACAATACCAACTTACTAGCTTTTACATAAGCGAAGCTATTCTACTCTCGCCCAAAAATGAGGCTTTCCGACTTCAGCATGCTTAGATAAAGGAGATCCGCCAAATCCCATACAAAATTACCCCAGGCCCGGCGCCAAAATAAAGTAACTCAATTTTTAGAGTAAAAATAGCAAAAATATTATATAGTTTCGGTATTGCTAAAATCACATGCTAACATAGTTTTTTTGCCAATTGAATTTTAATAGGAGTTCTTTGAAAAATTATATTTTTTAAGAGAAACGTCGTCTTTTATACTTAGTTCATTAATCTTGTAATTAGTGATTATGGCATATAAGCATGTATGTACTGTACTGTAAATATCATTAGATTATAATACAAACAAAAAGCTAAAGCTAAAACATTGTTCTATTTATTTGTGGGAAGTTTAAACTATTTTTTTTTCTAAATAAAAATATAACTGCAAATAAAATATCTCTTATCTATTAGACAAGTCCGTCTGTCTGTGGTGCTGTTTCAGCGGCCAAACCGTAAGAGATAGATAAAGAGAATATTTAAGTTATAAGTTAAGAATAGTCTGATAAGACTACAAACCGGATTTGAGTAACGTAGCACTTCCGCTTTTCGAGAAATCACGGGATTTCTATATCTTGGAAACGATAAGAGATAGATAATACATACATTTTTTAAATCAGGTTTTGGTGAACATTTGGTTCACTGGTTTGCTAGTCTTTATATAATACATGCTTATATGCCATTATTATTTATTACAATGTTAATGAACTAAAAAAGACTCTTTAAAAATATTTTATTTATAAAGCGCCTATGAAAATTCAACAGTCAAAAAAAACTATGTTAGCATGCGAATTTAACAATACCGAAACTATATAATATTATTGCTATTTTGCTCCAAAAACTGAGATACATTAGTTTAGCGCCGGGCCTGGGGTCATTTTGGCGGATCTCCTTTAAATATACAAATAATGGTATACTAAGCACATACACATTTTAAAGAAAAAACATCAGTAGTACACTCATCAGTGTAACTCGCTCCATTTCAAGTCATAATCCACATCAAAGTCAAAGGGGCCTAATAGGGATGATCACTATTTTTTTTCTTCGTTTATCAGGTAGATTATCAAAAAGTATTAGACACGTATTTTTTCTTTTTTCACATAATATAAACATTGCAGAGATATATTGATTTGAAAAGTCGCATGACGTCATGTTTGAGTACACTTATAAGTGAAAATTCACTCAAAAGTGACGTCACGAGCCCCTACTCCCAAACTTTGACGCGCTATAACTTTGTCATTTTTTGGTTGATTGTCCAAAGAAAAAATACGTGTCCATTATTTTTTGATCATCTAACTGACGGACTAAATAGAATTTCGTTTACTGTACCCCGTCATCATCCCTATTATCCTAATATGCCCAGGGCTTCCAATAGGTTTTAAAGATGGCCCTGACCACGGCTCTATGAATTCATACGCGCACCAGTCTCCCACGAATGACGACAGGATAATATAATTCGCCTAAGATTTTTGTAAATCTTTTTTACCATTTGTTGTGAGACATAAAGTTCATCATCATTATCATCAGCCTATTAATGTCCCCACTGCTGGGGCACAGGCCTTCCCAATGGATGGAATAGAGATTGGGCTATAACCTTTAGCTTAGCTAGAAAGTTATTTTACGTACCACTTGCTCAAAAAAGTGACATTCTATGCCACAAAAAGCGAACATAACAATAGTCATTTTTAATCTGTTAAAAACAGGGAAAGAAAATTGTACTGAATTTCATTCATCCTCTAGGGGGGGAATGTGATATAAATTTGGAATACTTACCGAAATTTAAACTGAACTACATCTGTGTTTACACCATTGAGTTTGTATATAAAGCATTATACATCTTTTTGTAAAAGGAATACGCATTTATTGTGCAGTTATGATTATTAAATAAAATTACGAAAACCGACGAGGCCGTATTTAATCGGATCAATGTTTCAAATGTTAAAAATAATGACAATTATCTCATCATATTATTATTGTGTTAATTTTTTCGCAAATGGTACGAAAAGTAGAGTATTTTCCACGGCGATAAAGCTGTCTTAGTCTTGGGTGAACTTAAATCCCTCGCTACACTCAGGACTCGTCTTAAATCCCTCGTTTCGCTCGTGTTTTAAGTTTTCAACACCCTCTCTACGCTCGGGAGTAAACCTCGAGTCCTTCGTTACGCTCGCTATTTATTTATTTATTTATATCAAATATTTATACTTGTATCTATCATTACAGGTATTTACCCAAGGCAATAGATACATCCATTTAAGAAATACATTATAAATATAACACATAAACACATTGGAAAAATAAATAATTATTTGTACCCGATGATCCAGTCAGCTTGTTTAGTGAATTCGCTCAGAGCACAAACGATTAAGTCCGTTAATTCTGTTGATTGTGCGCAATGCACGCGTCAGTGGAGCCTCACTCAATAATTTAGTGCGTCCAGTAGGAATTACCAACAGGCCCGGCCGCCGCCGACGCCAAATGTATTCATTTGGAACACTAAAACTGTTCATCCTTAGTATGCCCGGATTGAATATATTACCCCGAAGCACCTTAAAAATATAAATAGCTAGCTTCAATTCTCTCCTAACCTTAAGCTGATTTAATTTAAATCGTCACCCGCGACAGAAGACACAGCTTTATCCCCTTGGTTAATAATCTACTTGTGATAAGAGCAGCTTTCGTTTATCTACTTACGTTACGTTTACCTACCTAATGATATTAGGATAAAGGAAGAAAGACAACTGCTGTTGTCGAATGCATGAGGAGCATTGATTTATTATGTAAAATATGTGTTTTTATATAGTTAATACAATGACGTATTATGATGCATTTCTTAGATACTAGTGTTGAGTAGGACTTACAAGAGGCGGTACATTTGTCCCGGAAATGACGCCAAATTGTAAGAGCGGCTCAACATTTTAAAATGTACTACTTCACATTAAATGTCGCGATAGTCGCGTCTCGTTACTCACTCACTCTTCGTAAGTCTGAGAGAGAGAGCGAGGCATGACATTTCATTTAAGTCCTCTACGCACTATCCATCTGTATCTCTATCTGTTCTACGTGTATAGCGCTGTCCTGCATGCTGGATCCAGCAAGATTGATAGTGCGTAGAGGAGGTGCTACTCGTGCACACAAACGTAATGTCGAGCTTCTGTACGCCTCAATGTCATATTTGTACTCGTCACTTCAAATGTATTGCCGAGCTTCAGTACGCCTCGCCTCATTTGAAGTGGGACATTGTACTGGCTCAGTACAAAAAAGAGGCTACTCTTACAAACTCTTTTTCAAGTCGTGTCCTACCCAACACTATTAGATACAGCTACGTGATTAAAGTAGGTTATGCTTGCTCTGCAGATATACAAGATTACTGTACGTGACTCGTACACTACTATTGTTTTTGTTATTTGTCAGATACGACGCGGACACCGCCCTCAACCACGACTTCTTCTGGACGGACCCGATGCCCTGCGAGCTGGGCGGCATGCTGGCGCAGCACACGCAGTCCATGTTCGAATACCTCGCGCCGCCTCGGAGGCCTGGACACCTGAGGCACCACCACCATGCGCCCGCGCAGCCCAAGCCTGCGCCCATGGACTCCACATACCAGGACCGCGTGTTCTGAGCACACAAATACTCCCGTCCTGGCCGATTCGGCAATCAACACCCTGGTGTCGATTCTGGTCTCATTCTCTAAACCCTGCTTTTCATTCTGTATAATATTGAGGTTAAGAAAATCATGCCAGAATCGACACCACTGACACTTTTATGAGATACTGGTGTCGATTCTGGCGTGATTCTCTAAACTTAAAACTAAATTTAACATCGGTCTCTACTTTTCATTCTGTATAGAGAATGACAAGGATACACTGGTGTCGATTCTAGCATGATTCTCTAAACCTAAACTTAAATTTGACAGCAGTATATCCTTGTCATTCTCTATACAGAATGAAAAGGAGAAACTGATGTTAAATTTAGTTTTAAGTTTAGAGAATCATGCCAGAATTGGCACCACTGTTGTCAAATTTAAGTTTAGATTTAGAATCATGCCAGAATCGACACCGATGCTGTAAAATAAACACATTTTTATGATAATGATATGAAATAAAGACTGTTATATGCATTAATACACTATTTTATTGATAATTATGTAAACTTTTACGTTATTACCGCAAGACTCTACCTACCAGGACCAGGTGTTCTGAGCACAGCAGCGGTATACCCCCCCTCCGGCCATCTGAGGCATCATCCCAAGCCTGCGCCCATGGACTCCACATACCAGGACCGAGTGTTCTGAGCACACCAGCGCTATACTGCCGTCCTGGCCGATTCGGCAATCCATACTTTGGTGTCACTTCTAGGGTCATTCTCTGAACCCTGCCTTTCATTCTGTATAATATTGAAGTTTAGAAATTCATGCCAGAATCGACCCCATAAAAGTGTCATTTTATGAGTTAATGCTGTAAAATAAAAACACATTAATTATGTAAAATTTTACGTTATTACCGCAAGACTACCGACCAGGACCGCGTGTTCTGAACACACCAGCGCTATACTCCCATCCTGGCCGATTCGGCAATCCATACCCTGGTGTCGATTCTGGCGTCATTCTCTAAACTTAAAACTAAATTTAACATCAGTCTCTCCTTTTCACTCTGTATAGAGAATGACAAGGATACACTGGGCCCAATTCTGGCGTGCCAACTTATATCTAAAACTAACTAAAATTAGATATAGAGTTGTCAAATTCAATTTGGTATTCTGTAATGACACTCTATCTCTAAATTAAAAATTGACGTTGCTAAGTTATTCAACTTAGATTTAGATGATTAAATGGTATTCTGAAACGCGTTCTAAATGTCATATTTTCTCTAAAATTAGAAATGTCACACTAAATTTAAGAAGGACCTACGGAGGTCCTCTCTAAATTTAAATGTGAATAATTGGGGCCAAATATCACGTAAATGATTGCTGTACTTAAGTTTTGAACTTGTTGTTAAGGTTGGATATGGGTTTATTTCGTTAAAAAAAGACATAAATTTTATACAATAATGAACAACGACGGTGATAATAATATATTAGCTAGACGATGCGGATTTATTATAAGCCTATTAATGTGTCATGCTTATAATAAATCCGAGCTGCAGCGAGCAGCAACACAGGAACTCGATTTAATACATTTTGGGTTGGTCACCCATCCTAAGATCGGCCATTGTGAAAATTGCTTAACATTCACGATCGCAGAACGAAAGCGTTATACTTGCGCTATTGTGGTCTTTCGTAGGTAATGTACACGTATATCTTGTATAAAATACTAAATAATTTAAGGTAAAATCTTATATAACATAAATAAATAAAAATCCACTTCATATAAAAACAACCTAAAAAGTTAAAAAATCTATGTACTAATTCTATAAGTAATACTTACAGATCCTACTTACACCTAAAGTACATAGTCAAATAATTAACAAGATAATAGAGGTATGGTGTCAGTGATTTGCATTCCAATCACCAATTGCAATCCAAATGTTGTTTTGACTTTAAATGTAGGTACTTTAGACTTTAATGTATTATTTGTTCCTTTGTTTTATGTGGTTTTGTTTCTATGAAGCAGTTTTAATACCTATTAGTTAGAAATGTTTTTATTTCCAACTTTTTATAAGCTAATCATATTTCTTAAAATAACCAAACACGAAATAAGTACCTACTGTTTGTAATTGAAAAGTTTGTTTTTATATATCCTAAACTGGGCATCTTCACAATTGGGATGATCTCGCCAAAAACTGATAGAAACAAAAAAGATAAAAATAGGTTACGCATCTCGGATTATACAATAAATGAGAATAAAATCTTCACAAAACAGCCGAAGGGATAATTTTACAACCTCTTACCGAAACCGAAATTATAGGTATTAGATAGATACGCAGGATTGGGAATTTACGATGCGAGAAATTTTCAAGGATGGTTCACGTTAGACCCTGTCGGCCGTAGCAGAGTTAACTAATCATCATCATCATCATCAGCCTATTAATGTCCCCATTGCTGGGGCACAGGCCTTCCCTATGGATGAAATAGAGAGATTAGGCCATGACCCACCACGCAGGCCCAGTGCGGATTGGCGGGTGCTAACCAGTGTTGCCAGTACCTGCGTCGTGTTTCGGACGATTCGAAATCTGAAAAGGGACGATTTTTAGTCAAAAAGGACGGCCCTACAGAAATATTAAACTAAAGGCTGAACTATATTTATCTTACGTGTTGTGTTGTGGCGCGATCTGGTTCATACATTTAGTACGGTTAGCACTAAGAACTATACAGTAGCAGATCTCTATTAAAAAATTTAGACATATTAAAATTGACAATCCAGTTAAGAAATGTGTATTTATTGCTATTTTGGACATTTTGCTTATTTTTCTATTAAAATTTTGACTATTAGTATAATTGACAATGGCTTATCAAATTTATAATTAATTTATAATCTACTTTGACATGCATGTAACAATAGACAATTTCAAATTATATTCATAAATTGTGATTCCAATGTAAAAATAATAGTACTTCTTTCATAGGTCCTTATCTATTTGTATACCTTAATTAAGGTGGAAATGTAGTGATACTAACAAAAATTATATATACCATGTATACTAACCTATGTTTCACAAATTAAATTCTGAAATTCTGATTCTGATTAAACCTGTGTGTCGCGATGTGTCGACAGCGTTCTCACATTAACCATAATTGTATGAAACAGATAGCTCTCTGATGTGTTACAATACAACACGACAGGTAAGTGTAGTTCTATTATAATGCGGTTAAATGAAAAGAAAAGCGAGTCTGCTTAGGAACACACGACTGGAAGTGAAATTTCTATAGCTCCAATGATCTGTAATTTGATAGAAAAAAACCATCAATCCGCGCTGGGTCCGTTATCACACACCAATCCGTGCTGGGTCCGTTATCACCCACCAATTCGCACTGGGTCTATTGCCACCCACCAACCCGCACTGGGTCCGTTATCATCCACCAATCCGCACTGGGTCCGTTATTATACACCAATCCACACAGGGTCCGTTATCACCCACCAATCCGCGCTGGGGCCATTATCACCCACCAATCCGCACTGGGTCCATTGCCACCCATCAATCCGCGCAGGGCCCGTTATCACCCTAAAATCCGCACTGGTTCCATTATCACTCACCAATCCGCGCTGGGACCGTTATCATCCACTAATCCGCTCTGGGTCCGTTATCACCCACCAATCTGCGCTGGGCCCGTTATCATCCACCAATCCACGCTGGGTCCGTTCCGTTATCATCCACCAATCCGCACTGGGTCCGTTATCACTAGTGTTGCCAGGTCCGATTTGTTTTAAGTCGGTACATGAGGTGAAAAAAATCGGGACTTAGGGTTGTAGATCAGGACAGTAAACAAAAAACGAGGGTTTTTTAGTCTGGGTTTATTTTTTGCGATTTAAACCACTAGTGCAAGTATAGTATTATATTAATTACCTAACTTTCATTTTTTGATTCATTGGGTTATTTAGCGTCCCGATCAGGTACAAATCGGGACGCGTCCCCACACCCCTGAAAATCGAGACATCCCACACAAATCGGGACACCTGGCACCACTAGTAATTACCCACCAATCTGCGCTGTGTCCGTTACCATCCACCAATCCGCGCTAGGTCCGTTATCCAGGCCACCTAGCCAAGCACTAGATTTATGTATTTTGTGACAGGTATTGTTCATTGTTTACCGATGAGTCACCGATGACACTAATCGTAACGCGAAATCGTAACTATTCGCCAGTTTACCCAAGTCAAGCGTGCCTAAAGAAGTTTCACTTCAAAAAACATTTTAACAGAGCCATATTAATTATATTTTTTTGGGCACACAATAAACATAAAGAAGATGGTATGGAGGACATAGGTACATCATGGTGGTACGAACGTATCGTACGTACTTACGACTTAACAAAGCAAGCACTTATTTTTAAGTTACCTATTTATTATCTTTATAATTGAAATATAGGTACCTCAACAACAAAAGTTTTATTAGGTAAGATATGGTAGGTTATTGGGTTTGAGCTTTGAGTTGGTATATACATATAGGTAGGTATTTGTTAAACGTCACCTTCGTAGCGAGCGTTGGATTCGATGTAGTTTACTGGGTGATTTGACGAATAGAGTTGACAATGTACAACGAATAGTGATGGCAATTTAGTGAAACGAAACGCATTCGTCTAATGTTGCAGTGAAGCGTTATCGAAAACGGACGGAAAAGGGACGGAATATGTAAAAGGACATCGATGGGACGCTTTGATGAGAAAAGGGACGAAAATCGTCCCTTTTGGGACGTTCTGGCATCACTGGTGCTAACGACCGCAGATGCAGCCGGAAGAACGAGGAACTCGACATAGAGTCCGACAAGCGAATCGTGGCACAAGCTCGTGGCGGTAAATTTAAAAATCTCTCATATGTTAACCCTGAATATAGTGAGAAAAATCATGTTGATACTTGAATTTTTCAATATTTAATGATAGCTATTTGAAAAACAAAATAATAATGTAGAGATCTATTATGAATAGCACCATATAAACAAATGATTCAATTAGTCATTTATCCGAGACATTCATGCCTGATTCACCAGGGCTTGCAGTGTAGACATGTCGGTGATCACTAATGTGGAACAATCCGTACTCTAACGCC